AGGTAAGTCATGTGAGACATGGTGAGGCAGGGTAAGTCATTGTGAGACATGGTGAGGCAGGGTAGGTCAGGGTGAGGTAGGGTAAGTAATGTGAGACATGGTGAGGCAGGGTAAGTCATTGTGAGACATTGTGAGGCAGGGTAAGTCATTGTGAGACATGGTGAGGCAGGGTAGGTCAGGGTGAGGCAGGGTAAGTAATGTGAGACAGGACGAGGCAGAGTAGGTCAGGGTGAAACAGAGTAAGTCAGGGTGAGACAGGGTGAAGCGGGGTAAGTCAGGGTGAAGCGAGGTAAGGCAGGGTGAGGCAGGAGGGTATGTACATTCGCCATGTACATACGCTCGTTTATCAATCGATGATATGTCCATATGCACCAGATAATGTCCCATGTGAAGAAATCATCTACTTTTAACACTTTAATTTCCACAACAAAACTTGATAAGCAAACAATCTTACTAAAATGCTGCTCCACAAAATATACGCGATGATTATACAACTGTACATGTGTACAATGAACAAAATTTATCTATAAATCAGCGATTTAACACAATGTAACTATGTATCGAATATGTCTGAAGCTCAACGAAAAAGACATCTCATGGAAGCTACAGCTATGATGGGAATTATTAAAAAAAACTAACCAAACAGGCAAATTGAAAATGCTTTCTTGTTAACAGCATATAATAGAAACATAGGGTCATACTAATATGTGTTCGTCTTTTAGGTGTAGGACAGTGTTGATATGTTCGTGAGTGGTGCAGACACGAGGGAAACTATCATTGTTTCATGTCAAAATATAAAACAAAGATTTGACCATAAAAGACAAAACATTATTTTATCATTTTTATATATTTGTTAACTTATACTTCAAGACAATATGAATGTAGCTGCGACAGAGAGTGTTATTTCACTCAAATGAGATGTAGTTACGTATTGATTTAGGGCGGTGGTAGCCTAGTGGTTAAAGTGTTCGCTTGTTACACCGAAGCCGATGGGTTCGATTTCCCACATGGTGTCAATGTGTGAAGCGGGGCGGTCGGGTAGCCTAGTGGTTAAAGCGTTCGCTCGTCACGCCGAAGACCCGGGTTCGATTCCCGACATGGGTACAATGTGTGACGCCCATTTCTGGTGTCCCCCGCCGTGATATTGCTGGAATATTGCTAAAAGCGGCGTAAAACCATACTCACTCACTCAATGTGTGAAGCGCATTTCTGGTCTCCCCCGCGTCATATCGTTGGAATATTGCTAAACGCAGCGTAAAACTGCACTCATTCACAAATATTGATTTAATATCAGATTTACACGAATACCACTATTCCATTACGGAAGTGACAACACGTAGTTCCTGAGGGATTAATTAACAATGTCAATATCCTCTGATGAGCATCATAGGTCGAGCATCAAAATTGTTGGAGGCGTCAATACAGAGCCCCTTGACAGTCTTCCGGTTAAATGCGTGTATATAAGCTGTCTGCTAGAGTGTTATAACACTTGCAAGCTTTACTCAAGCCGTTGTCTTACAGCAGTGGGAGCACCGTCTTTCAGCACTCGCTGTAAGTATAATGTAGATATAAATGGATAACTTTGTACATGATTCTGCTTTGAAGCGCTGGGTCTTGCCTACTCCTTGTATTGCATTTACTAGTCCGAGTGGGTTGACACGCATGCCATCTTTGACTTAGATGTGATACAGAGAATCTCTTATTCAAACTGCAGCGGAACCAAAATATTAAAAATAGTATTAAGCATGCTCGCTTAATGTTATCGTACCAAATATTTAATGATATTTAATGGATTTTATCAAGAAACGACGTTTGAAAATTGTTTTCCTTGTTAGACGTGAAAGTTGGCAGTGTTCTTGCAATATGGTTGCTAAGTGGGGTGAGGGTAGGGGGTGCTTCACACTTTGTACCCTTGTGGAGAATCGAGCCTGGGTCTTCAGCTTGACGCTTTGTCCACTAGGCTACCCCACCGCACCCTGAAAAATTATAGGTACGAGATCAATTCCCATGAAGGGGAACAGTGGGTTGCCGGGTGACACTGTTTGTCTTATTCGTTGATATGGCACCGAACTCAACACACTTACTCTCTTGCTATCACAATAGTATGGCATATGCGTCAACTATATATCTTCACGTTTCGTAGACGTTATTCATAGTTTGCAATCGTCAGTTTAACGCATTACTGGCTTTACACGTAGTAAATTTAAGATGTTTATTTAATATGTTGAAACTCCATTTATACAAACCATAGCCTTCTTGCAAACATTCATTCGGGGCGGTCGGGTAGCCTAGTGGTTAGAGCGTTCGCTCGTCACGCCGAAGACCCGGGTTCGATTCCCGACATGGGTACGATGTGTGAAGCCCATTTCTGGTGTCCCCCGCCGTGATATTGCTGGAATATTGCTAAAAGCGGCGTAAAACCAAACTCACTCACTCACTCTTGCAAACATTCGACATACTCTCCAGTTAGATAGCGTCTGTAAAATTCAAAACATGTTTTCGCTTTCACTCTTTTTATTGTTTTGCTGTTTTCAATTTTCGAAACAATAATTTGTCAGAACATTTTATCTAAAAGTGTGAGAGGGCTTGACGGATTACTGAAGCGAGCTACCCGTTTAACTCTAAATATACAATAAAAGCATGCGGGGCGCCTAGGGCCCTGGCTAAAGACTATTGTACACTTCTCATAACAGCTCAAAATAAATGAACTTTATGACTGTTGTGTAGTTCAGCGTACACGCTGTTGTTATAGGAACAAGCCTGAGAGGGACAATTCATTAAAGCAATGACACGTTACATTCCTGAAATTGAATCAAGCTAGATATAGACTTGTGACCCCAAGGGGATTCTTCCGCGTTAGAGGGGCGGTCGGGTAGCCTAGTGGTTAAAGCGTTCGCAATGTGTGAAGCCCATTTCTGTTGTCCCCCGCCGTGATATTGCTGGAATATTGCTAAAAGCGGCGTAAAACCATACTCACTCACTCACTCTTCCGCGTTAGAATAGATCCCCTGCAACCTATGCAACCGTAAGATGCGACAAATTTGATTCGGAGGTCAGAAATGGTGAAATGGTTGATTCTTATAATATCAATCACTGGATCGTCTGGTTACGACATGATCTTTTAAAAGCCGCTGTCATACAGAAAAAAGCTGAGCGCGTCGTTAAACCACACAGAGTAATGTTCACTCGAGTAGACACAAACGCTATGTATAACGGTAGCGATCTCAAGCGTATCGAGGGTCTACATAACTGAGGTATATGGTCATGTAGTCTATCGTGAAGGGATATATGATGCATTGTTTACTGACTTGCCGTAAAAGGCGACTATGCATGTCGTAAGACCCGACTAACGGGATCGGGTGGTCAGGCTCGCTGACTTGGTTGATGCATGTCATTCCTATCCCAATTGTGTGGATCGATGCTCATGATGTCAATCACTGGATTGTTTGGTCCAGACTCGATTATTTTGCAGACCGCCGTCATATAACTGGAATATTGCTGAGTGCGGCGTTAAACAACAAACAAAAACACAAACAAACAACAGACTTGTGATGACCCTCGTCATCTATTATCAGTTAAAAGTGATGTTTTGAATCTACCGTGAATGTATGTATCAATGCTCGTGTAATATATCTATATTTAAGGTAAATATGCAGTATCCTCAGCCGTGCCGTGATACTCTGATCGCGGGTTCGAATCCCAGGTTCACCCTGATTATGAACCTAGGTTTACGAGCGCCATATCGTTGTCGTGGGTTTGACCAAAGCGATAACGTGTGTTAACCTGTCGTGTTCGAATCATTATATATAACAGGAATCGTGACAAGGAAAGATATGCCAGCTTAGACAAGGACATGTATACACACTTCCTGGTTGATATGCCTCGTACCATACATCCAATACAACCTTCATCTTCACCCGATACATCCGTATTATGATGCAAGATGAATGATGATGGTCGTAAGCTCAACACAAACCATTGCCCCGTTCGCCCACAGCATGGTTCAATGTGCATAGATTCGGTATCCTCTTACTGTAACCTTTCTGATTCTCGTGAGAGAGAGAGAGAGAGAGAGAGAGAGAGAGAGAGAGAGAGAGAGAGAGAGAGAGAGTGTGTGTGTGTGTGTTTGTGTGTGTGTGTGTGTGTGTGTGTATAAGGTGAGTGAGTGAGTATGGTTTTACGCCGCTTTTAGCAATAATTCAGCAATATGATCTCGGGGGGCACCAGAAATGGGCTTCACACATCATACCCATGTCGGTAATTGAACCAGGGTCTTCGGCGTGACGAGCGAACGCTTTAACCACTAGGCTACTCGACCGCCCCGTGTTTATAAGGGATACCAATAAGTGCCAATATGTTAAGATTTCGAAGCGGTGTATCTTTCCATGGACACATTAAAACTTTTCTGGGCTTTTGAAAAGATATGAAACCTCTTGTTTTTTAAACGAGAAAGCATTTCCGTTAGCTACTACTCAACCTTGAATCATGCACCCCCAGTTTGGTTTATGTTCACACAAACCGCTGTAAATTCATCAATCAAATGATGCATCAGTTTAATTTCACCACGCGAGCTATTGGCGTCAGCATGGCAGCTACGGATGTAAATATTTACAGAAACATGACATATCTATTACTGATCACCATAGACCATATAATATATCTAGTACATGTATATGGTCTCTGTGACCATCTTCTTCATGTGACTGGTCTCGTTTTCTAATCAGCGCATGCTCTATCAAAAAGCACTCACAACGAACTCAGCCTTTTCACAATGGGCATTTACGCAAAAGTGCATTATCTGATACGTCGAGATACATGGAGGGTTATATTTCACACCGACTGCGACGTCAACAACTGTATTTGAATTATCTCTTTGATTGAAGAATCTTTAATACATACGAGATCATCTGCAGAGATCCACTGTTGAAGGCGCGGAGCAGAAAGCAGTTGAATCTAGTTTTGTATCAATGACAGCCATTTTAACAGACATGTATTTGCAGCAGATGACCATGTTGGAGCTAATGAGTATCCTGCCGTCTGTGGCGTTGGTGGTGGTGACGGTGTCGTTGCTGTTCATGTAAGTATTACCGTGGACGCGAATTAATGCGTGTGTCGATATCAGGATTGAATGCGCTGTCTGTGACATTTAACCATCTGACATTCTCATGTCTAACCTTCTGATACAATGAATAGAAGATGTTTGGCAGAGTGCATGAGTGGATGAGCATGTGAGTGTCAGTTGAAGGTAGAATTTGTATGTGTGTAAGATTGAGTGAATGAAGCAGTTATGAACAAAGCAGTGTTAATGGACTCCCAATCCCTCAAAGTCATCCCTGCCACAAATTGGGCGAAGCTACCGTACCGTAATCTCAATTCAGGCGATGTTCCCGTAGCGTAATCTCAATACAGGCTATGCTCCCGTGGCGTAATCTCAATACAGGCGATGCTCCCGTGGCGTAATCTCAATACAGGCGATGCTCCCGTAGCGTAATCTCAATACAGGCTATGCTCCCGTAGCGTAATCTCAATACAGGCGATGCTCCCGTAGCGTAATCTCAATACAGGCGATGCTCCCGTGGCGTAATCTCAATACAGGCGATGCTCCCGTAGCGTAATCTCAATACAGGCTATGCTCCCGTAACGTAATCTCAATACAGGCGATGCTCCCGTAGCGTAATCTCAATACAGGCGATGCTCCCGTAGCGTAATCTCAATACAGGCTATGCTCCCGTAACGTAATCTCAATACAGGCTATGCTCCCGTAAAGTAATCTCATTATAGGCGATGCTCTGTACCGCAATTCCAATTCAAGCGAGACTCCATAACACAGTCTCAATTCAGGCGATGCTCCGTAACAGCAGTTTAATGTTAATCGTGTTGCTCGAGCTGTGTGGACAATTGCAAGGGATCGCGACCGCGCCATTTCCATCTCTTCACTGCACCGTTATTATGCGAAGAGGTACCAAAATTCTACATGAATATTTCCGTCAAAGTATATTCAGCAATTTTTAACGAATACATTTGAGTAATATTTCTATCTGTTTTTCGAACCATCAATCAACTTTGTAACGTTTAATTATGACGTTTATCATATTTTGAAACACGCAGAATAATAGCATAAAAGCTTTCACCGGCTGACGTCAGTCTCATCATCAATGGGGAAATAACGCCGTCAGTCAATTGTCCGCCGAGGTGAGGATGCTCGTGACAGATGTGTCCGGGGTCCAGTGTCGCTTGTGATTGTGAATGAAAGTTACCCCCAACAAAGCCCCGACCACCCCCCCCACCCCCACACCGCTCTGTCAATACACAAACCGTACACTGTCATTCTTCCACCGGATACCCTGAACTCGACAAGATGGCGGCGCTCGTTTGGTGCAGTTTGACGTGGGTGGTGTAGTCACTGTACTTTAAGTCGCCGTACTAGAGGTCACCTCAGAGTTCATGAAGTGCTTCAGTAAAACAGTATGTTAGTTCATTAGTATATCAGTGCGTTAGTTCTTTCATTCATCAGTATATGACTAAGTTAGTTAAAAAGTTCATCAGTATAAAACTAGTTCATAAGTTATTAAGAGATCGGTTACCTTGACGTGGAACCGGTTTGGATTCACAAGTTTGTTGCGGAGTATTGTAATCCCATCTACAACTGACTCAATTTCTAACATCAACGCCATGTGGGACTACAATCGAGTGCCCAACTGCTGTTCCTCTTTGGTCCTCAAACAATGTAGCGCCAAAGATCTATCAAGCTGTTCACGTCATATAGGGCTTAAAACCACAGCCAAATGTAGGGCTTAAAACCACAGCCAAATGTATATATATATTAAATATGTATAATAAATAACAAAAATGTCATAGCGTGGACATGACATGAAATACATGGCAAAACCTATTATTATCCTTGGAGCATCAGTACCGTCCCCGGAGTCGGGGTCTTGACCCTCATGGCTAACACCCACCACGTCCTCACACAGCAAGCTGACACGCCCACTTTCTATTGTGTCGTCCGACTTCAAACTTGACATATAAGTAACAGCCCTTTTTTATATAACTTGTGAAACATTACACATAATGAATCACCCTTCCCGTCACGACATAGGAATGCAAGTCTTAAAAGTATTTTCTAATAAAATATTACAAGCTTTTACGTAGGCAGACCCTGAAAACAGCAGTCGATTGACCGAATTTAATAACATTCTTGAGAATTTCTCGTTTTTTCTCCCAGAATAGGCGTCACTTAAACATACATGGCGAACCAAATATCTTGGAAATGCTTCCCAAGTGGCCACTGCTCTGGAAAGTCTGGAAAGTGTCTGTAACGCGGATGCTGTTTAAACATCTCCAACTTAACTGTGTTTTAAATGTAAGCCAGTTTTCTCGTGGCTCTTAAATCTGAAAGTAAAAAGTGCTGTTTCGATAGTTACACAATGAATTTGTCTCTGTTGATACAATCTGGAGGTGTCATTTCGATAGTAACATGGCACCGTTTTATCTGTTAATACAATCCGATTCCTCATTTGTGAGGTATTATGGTGAACAGTGTGGCACAGGAACAGCCTGGAAGTAAGATTGCAGAGTATACTGAACCGTATTGAAAGCATGATATTGCGGGGGAGTCACATTAAGGGAGGATGCTTGGAGGCGTGTAAGAGTGAGCTTTGCTAATCCGTAAACCATGTACTCTCGCCCTTCTCCATGGCAACATATAATCTTTGTTTTCAGATACGGCATGTCTGGTTACACTGTGTTCAAGAAAAGGCAGATTCCTGGTCCCACACCGATACCATTTTTTGGTAACCTTCTGCCCATGGCCAAAAGGGTGAGAAGACGTAGTGGTAGACTAACAACTAGTCTCTGAAATGAGCATATCGCACAGAAAAAACAGTTGTTAAATTATCTTAATAACAAAATAAAAAAGGAGCCCAGAGACTCTTCATTTTCAGATACTGCAGAAATCTAGACTTGCCAAACATTATAGACTTGCATGGGCTGTATTTGATATATTTGTATCAGGGTCTGTAAGACAGACTAACGTAGTGGGATAAGAGAACCGCAACGTCCATAGTTTAACATAAGCCTAAGCTAGTCGTATCAATTGCTTTGTGGGTGGGTGAGTGAGTTGTGTTAAACGCGCTTTAACAATATTCCAGTTATATCACCGCGTGATGTGGGAGGAAAGTGATGCAGGTGTTAGACGATTATAACTTCGGTGAAACCCACGAGCACAGGTATGCTAGACACATAATCGGTGCGAACCGGATTCGAACCCACACTCATAGGTTTATGGCGTGCCCAAGGGACGCAACTCTGCACAGTGATAAATATTATAACCAATACATATAGCTAGACAAACGACTTAACTGTTACAAACAAGAACGCACGATGACGCACGGGTGCAGAGTTGCGTCCCCTGGGTACACCTGGATCCAATGATTGTGGTTCGAACCCAGATTCACCCCGATTATGTTTCTAGGTCTACAAGCACCATACCCGTGCTCTGGGGCTTCGCCAAGTTGTAAACGTCTGAGACCTGAATAACTTAGGACTCTCCTTCCAAATTCACCTGACACGCCGTGATATAACTGGAATACTGTTCACAGCGACGTTAAAAGCAACTCACTCCCCCAAAAACTAACGAAAGACGTTCCTAATGATAATTGTAAAACATTATCCATCACATTTTACGCTCGTGGCTCCATTCCAAAGCAAGATAGACTTTGCCTACTCTAATAATTAAGCCAACATAATTTTTATCCAGCTTGGCAGCTCACATGTCTTTTAATGAACATTTACAAGATGTCCACCGTCAAGAAATCTGATCTGTTTTCGGTGCAGATGTACTAAGAGTAATTTTGTTCTTTTTGCAGGGGTTTGTTTATCCTTTGTTGGAGTGGAAAAAAAAGTTCGGACCTGTCTACGGGTAGGTTCTCTTTGCATACAAAACACATACCACGACGCAAACAAATGGGTTACTATATACAAACGGAAAGTTGAATACACTGTAACGTTTACTCTATTTTAATAATAATCAAATGGGCTACGTCTACGCACATTGACAACCCGAGCCCCTTGAGGTGAGTGTGGGGAGGGGGTAGGGAGCAACCACCATCGGTTATCTAGCTTCCTCCGACTTCCTCCTCTCGTACACGCATCTGGTCAACTGGACAGGTCAGAGTTTCACAATCCATGCGGGCCATGTGATGGAAATGCGCACTGAATACTCATCCACCGGACGTGCGCGTGCCAAGTTGATCGTAACACTAACACGCAGAACAGTACCGTGCACAGTGCCGTATGCAGCTGGGGGGGGGGGGGGGGGGGGGGGGGGGGGGGGGGAGATTTTCCTTGTGATGGTTAACTTGAATAAGAGATGAATAATAAATAATCTTATTTGCCTCCCCCCTGTCAAAAAAAACTACGGCCTTGGTGAAGAAGGAAGAGACAATGTTATTGTAGGATGTAAACAATAGAAAAACAAAGTATTACCAAAATAACACAGTTCCTTTTCATACATGTATTAATAACAATCGGACAGAACAAAGTATATATTTAGATAAAGTATATCTTGTACCACAACATACATATGGTATATCAAGTCACCGATTTGCAGATTTTCAGTTGTTATTAGAAAGTGGGATGCAAGCGTTGAATGTCAAACACCTTTAATTTATTTGTAATTTTAGGTTCCAAATGTAAAATCTAATTACAAATTATATTCAATATAAATTCATTTTCGTATGAGTATAAATAACAGAAGCGATTGTGCCCCAGCTGAAAGACAAATCATATCTCTGAAAACGGCATCCTCTCAATAGATAGGCTGACGGATGTCTTCCTTTATGGTGTTTCAAGAATAGCTACTTGGTGATGACAATCCTCTTTAGTAACCACGATGTGTGGGCGTCAAAGGTCATGGCGACTTACTGGATCTGAACGTTAACCTTTACAAGACGCCATGCACTTGCTCCATATATATATTGTCTATGCTTTATTTATTTGTCAATTTGCATTTTGTTAACATGGTATTTGAGAAAGTAGTATGTTGGTAAGGAACAGTCTCGCTTGGGTGTGTTTTGTTACTGTGGTCCTTTTGACTGGGGGCGGTCGGGTAGCCTAGTGGTTAAAGCGTTCAATCGGCACGCCGAAGACCCGGGTTCGATCTCCGACATGGATACAATGTGTGAAGCCCATTTCTGGTGTCCCCCGCCGTAATATTGCTAAAAGCGGCGTAAAACCATACTCACTCACTCACTCTATTTTACTGATACTGTACTGCCGGTAGGGCAGGGCAAGCTTACTCTTTTCGCGGACGCCTGGGGTCATCTCTGTTTATCAGTGATCAATTCATGTAATTTTCACCGCTATTTGGCCCTATATGCCCAATGAAATCTGTTTCGAAGGATAATCGAAACTGGTTATTTTCTGGCATTGACTTTTAAGGCGCCACAATTCGCCGTGTGGTGTAACAGTACCACACTCGCAAGCATCATCTAAATGGAATACTACCCAGAAGCCCGTTTATAAATACAGTAAAATACGTTTACAACGAACTACGGTTATAACGAACTGACAGATTAAACGAACTTATTTTTTGGTCCCGTCAATTTGCCGTATATTTGTTATATTTATGCATGTAACGAACTACGGTTATGACGAACTAAAATTAGCGGTCCCTTTGAGTTCGTTATAACCGTAGTTTACTGTACCATCACGAAACAGCTGGAGAATCTGGAGACAATTAACTCATCTCAACTAATACAGTTTTACATGACACACCCCGTGGAGAAATAACACGTTGCGGATTAAACAACTCCATGTTTGGATTGTTCTGTCGACACCGTCAGTTCCTGATGTTTTCTGTGTCTTCCTTCCAGTGTCTATTTCGGCCACAAGCCTGTTCTAGTCGTGACGGACCTGGAAATGCTGAAACAGATTGAAGTAAAAGAGTTCAACAAGTTCCAGAATCGATGGGTAAACGCTTCTTTCTTCTAGATTCTTATTACTGAATGTTTTCGAGAAGAACACATTTATCACCTAATTCCTCGACATCTCGTTTTCTAAAATGCGTGGATCAACAAAAGAAATAAATACACTTACAGTAAACTACGGTTATAACGAACACGCTTATAACGAACTGACGGATATAACGAACTAACTTTTTAGTCCCGACAATTTTGGTAGTTATGCTGTATATATGCTTATAACGAACTACGGTTATAACGAACTAAAAATAGTTGTCCCTTTGAGTTCGTTATAACCGTAGTGTACTGTATCTTATAATAACGGAAAGCACATTTACAAACAATCAAAACTCTGTTTATTCCAGAAAATATTGCGTCATTCGAGAGTGGCGTTTGTTTGTTAATGCCATGATATACTTTTTCCTGGGAACAGTAACACGCCAAGGAATTAAGAATATAAATACTAATATAAATACACTTCAGTGACCTTCATTATAACATCCACTACAAAAGGAGACAATTGTTGAGTCTTCCGCTCGACCTTTGCACTGTCATGAGGTTTGACGCGAGTTGTTGCGAGTGATGGTATTACCTTCCGATTCGAAACTGCGGACGTGTCCAACAATGTTTACAAGACGGACACTTATACATAGTTACGAAGACCGCAGAGAATGTCGTAAAGGAAAGTGCAACCCACTTAGCATGTATGACGGAATGTTTGATGGTTGACGCACTGCATTATGTTCGAGTTGAAACAGCAGCGTTCATCCATGTGGGTGGGGTTATACGACAATCCAGGCCTACATGTTTACGCATAGACAAGTTATTACAACTTCAGCGATCTGGTGCTGAACTACATTCCTTTGTATATTACATTCCTGTCTAAACTTATCAGCAGTAGAAAGTGTTGCTGCAACTACCTCTTCTGCTGCTGCTGTTGTACAACTACGGCTACTATTAAGGGCGCGTAAACGCTTGGTTAGGCAATTAAGTGACATGAGGTCACTTGCAACGTGTTTGTATCATTATAGCAGCTACAACCACGTCTGTATCAACGCATCACCCAGAAATTGATATGGATTGAGATATACATATCACTGAGCGTAATAAACATGCTTTCCCTGATCAATGAGATTGATATGGATTGATATAAACATATCACTGAGCGTTAAAAACATGCTTTCCCTGACCAATGAGGTTGATATGGATTGATATAAACATATCACTGAGCGCCATAAACATGCTTGCCCCGATCAGTGAGATTGATATGGATTGATATAAACATATCACTGAGCGTTATAAACATGCTTTCCCTGATCAATGAGATTGATATGGATTGATATAAACATATCACTGAGCGTTAAAAACATGCTTTCCCTGACCAATGAGGTTGATATGGATTGATATAAACATATCACTGAGCGCCATAAACATGCTTGCCCCGATCAGTGAGATTGATATGGATTGATATAAAGATATGATTGAGAGCTATAAAGATATGATTGACAGCTATTAAGATATGATTGACAGCTATAAACATATGATTGACAGCTATAAACATGCTTTCCCCGATCAGTGAGATTGATATGGATTGATATAAAGATATGCTTTAGAGCTATAAACATATCATTGAGAGCTGTTAACATGCTTTCCCTGATCACTGGGATAGATGAAGTATGATATTAACTTTGAGAACTACACCTCACAACACAATGTTCAACCATAGTTTTCTGCCCCGTCAGGACATCGACTTGTACCCTAGCCCCATAAACAAGGGCATCTTCTTTGAGAAGGGGGCAAACTGGAAGAGGATCCGGAGCATCATCAGTCCAACGTTCAGCGCCGGCAAACTGAAACAGGTAAGAAAAATGGCAAAACATGAAAAAATTATACAACTCCTACACCGTAGCTCACTGTAAGGATTGTTGTTCTTGATAGTAAGAGCACTGTTACGAGAGCTCCATCATGATCGCTGGGGTGACAGCACCATGCTGTGCTTGTGGTTTCCCCCCCCCCCCCGGAGTGGTAACCGTCTTAAACCTTTGTCATTTGGCAGTCATACTTAAATTGTACTTGTCTCTCTCCAGATGTGCCAGCAAATTAATGTATGCGCAGAGAAGCTGTCTCAGAGATTGAAAGGACTCTCCGTTGGCGGACAGCAAGTTGAGATCAAAGGGTAAGTTTTCGGTTGAGTGGATTCTAAACACGAAATATACGGAATACGAATTCTTCTTCTTATTATTCTTCTTCTTTTTATTATTATTATTATTATTATTATTATTATTATTATCATTATTACCTAACACAGGATGGTGAGTGTGGACGACATTAGCAGTTCCTTTCTTAAACGTGGGATCACGGACCTTATGATGTCTGACTAGTATCCTACTGAATCAACGAAACTATTTAAAGATAGGATCCTGCATACTGTGAAACGTAAACAGTCGAATTTAGACCAACATCCTTCTAGTGTTGTATACTTATTTATACCTAAAATTTATCATCCAAACCCGCCTCCTTACGAAAGATATCGTTTGGGTAAGATCACGCGAAGGAGATGTCGCTGCACTGGATGAAGTTGCAGGCATTGAGACGTCGTCGGTTACATGGCGTCGCCACCACTAATCTCTCTGCCACTGATGATTGTCTAACTGTACTTTTTACACTGGTTATTCTATTAAAAAAACCTGAAAAAGTTGAAAAATGACCCGCGGAATTTCACCTTCGTGTCTTTTGTTATCAAATATATCTGCAAGCTTTGGAGTTTTAAACTTTTATCGACTCGCGTTGATATATTTGATATCACCGAACACTTAGGTGACATTCACTCAATATGCGCTTTGATGTAATTAAGAGACCGCCATTCAACCGTTCCAGAAACTAGCATTGCCTGTAAAGTGACATATCCGCATAGAATGTCGTTCATGACGAGTCGTAGCTCATCGTCTCTTGATGTTGTTTTGCAGCTACCTATCTGCTTTTACGATGGATGTTATTCTGATGACAGCCTTCGGGAAGAATGTAGATTCTCAGCGGAATCCAAACGAGCCCTTCGTCAAAAACGCCTACAACATATTCAAGGATAGCGTATATACCATGCCATTCGTTTTCCTTGCCAGTGAGTAATGTCAGAGTAGTCTCCCCTTAACGCCTAACATGAAACATAATATTCTCCTGATGACATGTATCAGCTGTAAACAGCCGTACTGTAAATTAACTACTCAATCTTGTTTAGTATATGAAACATATCTTAATTTCTTTATATATACAGTAAACTACGGTTAAAACGAACACGCTTATAACGAATGTACGGATATAACGAATTATTTAGCCGTCACCTTTGAGTTCGTATTCAACGTAGTTTACTTTATGATGTTTATTTAAAAAGAATGGTGTGTATATACGTATTTTATTAATATTGCCCGGCGTCCGGCTTAACTCATCTCACTCTGAATCTGTTGCAGCTCTGTTTCCTAGCATGGAGAAGCTAGGCAAGAAGCTTGATATGTGTGCATGGCCCAAGGATGCCGTCAACTTCATCATCACAGCCGTCAGGGAGATAGTGGAGGAGCGACGTCATGAACAGGAAGCAAAGGTAACCATTCTCACATCAGGAGTGAGTGAGTTAGTGAGTGAATGGGTTTTTACTCCGCTTTCAACAGTATTCCAGCTCTATCGCGACTGTACCCACACGTGGAATCGAACCCAGGCTGCCAGCGTGACGAGCGAACGCTTTTACCACTTCCGGGGGCCTTATCCTATGTTTTCACGTTTGATACCATTTTGTTTTCATAAAGACAGTTAGCGTGGTGTGATTTTACGGAAGTATAGACGATATAGAAAGATAAAAACTTCCGGAGCAAATATTAGTTAACACTTCTTTAATTATATGAAATCGTCTTCTTAGTTTGCTTCAGTTTGAGCCAAGTGAGCGCCATTGATTACGTTTGAGGGTATCTCCTTCCTGCGTGTTTCAGAACCACGACTTTCTGCAGTTGATGCTGGACGCTGAGATGCCTGACGACGTGGACGGTGACCACGTTGATGCCAACGCCAACGTCGACAAAAACAAGAAACGTCAGTAGTCTTCTCTTCGTTTATGACATCAAGCTGGGGCACGGGTGGCCCAGTCGTCTAAGGCACCGCGATTCGCTGTGCAGAGTTGCGTCCCTTGGGCACGTCAGAAACCTATGATTGTGGGTTCGAATCCCAGTTCGCCCCAATTATGTTTCTAGGTTTGTCAGCACCATACCCGTGCTCGTGGGTTTCACCGAAGTGGTAAACGTCTGAGACCTGCATCATTTCGGGCTTTCCTCCCACATTAAGCTGACAAGCCGCGATATAACTGGAATACTGTTAAAAGCGGCGTTAAACCCAACTCACTCACTCACTCACTATGACATCAAGCATGTACACGTCATTGATGCAAATGAGGAATTTTGTGATATAACTGCATATGTCATTCACCTGGAGCCAGAGCCCCGCATTGAAGATGCCTTTTGATTGAAGTGTTGTGTTCCTTTCATAACAAAGTAAACTAAACCACTTGACTAATTCACAAAGAAACATTATCGTATTCCATTAACATCGCAAGTGAGTGAAAAGAATTAACGCTGCAGTCAGTAATATTCAAACTGTATCCCGGCTAATGAATATCCAAGAACAAGATTGGTCGCCTACAAAATTAAAAAATTATTGTGCACCATTATTGTGCACTTGAAATAGAATCGCGAAATATCGCGATGATTAATTTAGTAAGCTGCACGTGTGATGATACACAAAAATGGGAAAACAAGCCATTCCGTCATTGAGAACTATTACTTACAGTACTGAAAAAAATTGCAAAGGGCACTTATGATCATAACTAAATGAACTCAACTCAACTCAACTCATTATCTCTAGGAAACGGATATTTCTGGAAAAGCGCTTTTTGCAATTGTTTGTCATTATTGTTATATTTCTTATAGACGGAATGGCTTGTTTTCACTTTTAAAGTATAAGCACCTTTTCAGCTGTCTTCGTTGATCGGGACGGTCGGGTAGCCTTGTGGCTAAAGTGTTCGCTCGTCACGCCGAAGACCCGTGGTCGATTCCCGACATGGGTAAAATGTGTAAAGCCCATTTCTGGTGTCCCCCGCCGTGATATCGCTTGAATATTGCTAGAAGCGGCTTAAAATCAAACTCACTCACTCACTCTTCGTTGATCAATCAATCAATAAATGATTCTATTTCAAGTGGCGAGGACTGTACTATGATGATGACTACGGCCTGAGGATTGGTGCCGTGTTGTCTGTGTGATTGACATCGTAATATGACATCCAAACACCGCAGCTGACTGTATTATGTTGTCTGCAGGTCTAACAGAGGATGAGATTATCGGACAAGCGTTCCTGTTCCTCATAGCGGGGTACGAGACGACGGCGTCGGCATTACAGTACATGTCGTACGCCCTGGCTACGAACCCAACCGTGCAGGACAGGGTCTACGAGGAGATTGACAGAGTTCTAGGAGACGTATGTATATTAATTTTGTTGTTGTAGTAGTAGCAGTAGTAGAAGTAGTAGTAGTAGTCGTAGTAGCAGTAGTAGTAGCAGCAGCAGCAGTAGTAGTAGTAGTAGTAGCAGTAGTAGTAGTAGTAGCAGTACTAGCAGTAGTAGTAGTAGTATTAGCAGTAGCAGTAGCAGTAGCAGCAGCAGTAGTAGTAGTAGTAGCAGCAGTAGTAGTAGCAGTAGTAGTAGCAGTAGTAGCAGTAGTAGTTGTAGTGGTACGCAATATTATTATTATTATTATTATTATTATTATTATTATTATTTCGTAGATTTACGTCATTTTCTCTGACACTTTAATTACAGTGTTTGTAAGATATTTGTTGGCACTGGCATAAACGGGAGCGGCATAAAACAACATGGCGCTATATACGTGAACAAACTCGGTGAACATAAACCGGAAACGTCAAGTTTTTTTGGTCCCACTGAACTTCTGAACGCAGTAAGCCCGGCATGACACCGGGATGTTATACATGGCCACAAATACGTGAAGTGGCGTGCTTAGACCTGTCTCCATGTTTACAAGTTACGCCCACTGTCAAGTGCACGAGGACGACGCCACACAGTCTGATGACCCAGTTATGCAACTATGCATAACTATACAACATATTGTCGATATATGAGGGATAGCTGACGTCCTTTCTTTTCATAAAGGCCGATACAGTAACCGCGGTTACATAACACGATAAATACAAACTTATAAAGCAGATATGTCATAAATACTTTTTGGTTTATCAATAATTCCATAGATATACATGTGCAGGTCTCACGGCGCACTTTCATCTTAGTTGAGCTATGTGTGTCCGTATGTTTAGCGATACCGAGTACAGCTGGATATTGAATGAAAATAACCGACTCAGTCAAGTTAGAGGAGTTCTCACCTGTTTCTACTCAGCTCTGTTTACCCATTGGTTTTATATTTTGTCCAGGAGGAGCCCAACTATGAGAACATCATTAATATGCGCTACATGGAACAGGTGTTCAACGAGTCCCTGAGGATGTTCCCAATCGTCCCCATGTGAGTTGAAGTCCTACCGAGATGGAATTATTTGAGTGTATTAGTCTGAATGAGTGTTGCTTGCATTAGTCTGAATGAGTGCTGCTTGCATTAGTCTGAATGAGTGCTGCTTGCATTAGTCTGAATGAGTGCTGCTTGTATTAGTCTGAATGAGTGTTGCTTGTATTAGTCTGAATGAGTGCTGCTTGCATTAGTCTCAATGGGTGCTGCTTTCATTAGTCTCAATGGGTGCTGATTGCATTAGTCTGAATCAGTGTTGCTTGCATTAGCCTGAACCAGTGTTGCTTGCATTAGCCGGAATCAGTGCTGCTTGCATTAGCCGGAATCAGTGTTGCTTGCATTAGCCGGAATCAGTGCTGCTTGCATTAGCCGGAATCAGTGTTGTTTGCATTAGTCTGAATCAGTGCTGCTTGCACTGGTCTCAATGGGTGCTGCCGGCATTAGCCTGAATCAGTGTTGCTTGCATTAGTCTGAATCAGTGTTGGGGCGGTCGGGTAGCCTAGTGGTTAAAGCGTTCGCTCGTCACGCCGAAGACCCGGGTTCGATTCCCGACATGGGTACAATGTGTGAAGCCCATTTCTGGTGTCCCCCGCCGTGATATTGCTGGAATATTGCTAAAAGTGGCGTAAAACCAAACTCACTCACTCACTCACTCACTCACTGAATCAGTGTTACTTGCATTAGCCGGAATCAGTATTGCTTGCATTTATAATTTAGCTTGAATCAGCGTTGCTGGTGTTAATCAGAGCAGCCTGACAAAGTCATTAAGGGATTGGCACTTACCCAGTACTATGTAGACACAGCGCGCAGCTGTATAGTTGCCAGCATGAAAATAGCCTGAACTACAGGAGTATTAAAATTCCATTAGGTACATAGAGTGTTAGCAGTTCGGATATTCAATTTGGAAAGGGAATACACACACACTAGTACGTAAATACAAACGCTGGAATTGCTTGCTGTCGTAGCCTCTTACCGTTTATCATATAATGTAAAACCACCAGGTGTAATACCGTTTTTCTCATTTTCTCATTTTAGAATGACCCGTGAAGCGATGGAGACAGTGACTATAAAGGGGTACCAGATAGACAAAGGAACAGCCGTGGCTGTTTCAGTCTACGCCCTGCATCACGACCCCGCGAACTTTCCCAACCCGGAAGTATTCGACCCTGAAAGGTACAATATATTTGGCATAGTCTTGTCTAGTATGTAATATCAGTATAAACGTTTGACATACCGTTAACATACATACACATACTGATGTATTGGTCTTTTAGAACCATTTCCATTGCTACGAAATAGACTTAAGTCGATTCCTTTTTGAAAGTAGTTTAAACACGTAATAATTATTCAATTATCGTAAACTTTAAACTATTTCAGGTTTTCGCCTGAAAACAAGAGGAAAATAAACCCTATCGCCTTTCATCCGTTTGGCTACGGGCCACGGATATGTATCGGCATGAGATTAGCGCTGATGGAGGCCAAATGTGCCATGGTCCATATGCTGAGGAGGGTCAAGCTTGTCCGGTCCGAGGACACAGAGGTGAGACATTGCCATCCAACATTACGTTGTTTTTTTGTTGTTTTTTTAAAGGGGCGGTCGGGTAGCCTAGTGGTTAAAGCGTTCGCTCGTCACGCCGAAGACCCGGGTTCGATTCCCGACATGGGTACAATGTGTGAAGCCCATTTCTGGTGTCCCCCGCCGTGATATTGCTGGAATATTGCTAAAAGCGGCGTAAAACCATACTCACTCACTCACTCACTCTTTTTTTTAACGCCGTACTCAGCAATGTTCCAGCTTTATAACGACGGTCTGTAAGTAATGGAGACTGAACCAGACAGTCAAGTGATTGACATCATGAGCATCGATCTACGTAATTGGGATACCGTGATATGCATTAACCATGTCAGCAAGTCTGACCAACCGAACCCGTTAGTCGCCTCTTACAAGAAGCATGGGTAGCTAAACACCAGTTCTTACCCTGATAGCGGTTTCCTATCATTAACATTGCACATACAGGGACCCGTTCCACAAAGCGATCCTAGCGCTACGACTGTCGTAAGTCAGTGTTAAAGAATGGGAGTTACGACCGACTTAGCGCTAAGATCGCTTTGTGGAACGGGGCCCTGGAACGTACAGGTTCGTTAGTTTGGGTTTAACGCCGCAGTATTTCAGTTTTATCACGGCGTGTCAGCTTGATGTGAGTGGAAATTCCAAAGTGATGCAGGTCTCAGACATTTACCACTTGGACATGGTGCTAAATCAGGGCTGTGAATCCCCAGAATGTGGATTCGAACCCACGATAAGAGGACTTCTAAGCATGTCTAAAGGACGTAATTCTGTGCCACCATGTGAATGGGGCACAGACAAATGATGAATTAATTATTTCAAAGATTAGTACATGCATCGGTGTACTTTTCACACAAAAGAAACATTCGCTCCTCAATTTAGAATAAGCGTGAGATAATCGATGGATCATCATCACGGCGTATTTTCTGAGGAAATTATGTAGAGGGGAATGTCCGAGTAACTCTCCATTCCTTTAAAATAATAGAGCAGAGGCCCCTCAGGGGCCGAGGCCCATTATTTTTAAGGAATGGAGAGTTACGAGGATATTCCCGTACTTAAAACTCATCCCTACTTTTACCCTTTGACAAAATATTCTGTAGTTGAAAATATTTGACAGATTCAAATGCTGCTTCAAGATTATGTACGGTTGACAACCAACTCTCCACTCCTGAAAAATAATGGAGAGTTCAAACAATAGAATGACGTCACAGATGTGTCTTAATACACAATTCACTTTTGTGTTCAGTGTACATGAGTTTATTAAGGTGGCTGTTATTTCCAGGTTCCGCTCACTTTCGACAACAACAGGATTATGCAGCCTTTAAACCCAATCCGTCTGAGAATTGAGCCCAGGAACAAAACATGCTGACTTTCAACGATTCCGCTGTTGACGCCCGCTTATGTGTAATTCAGCTCTATATTGTCATGTGACAACCAAATGAACAATATGCATATCACTGTCTCAAGACAAGCCATATGAAGATTATGTTTAAAGGTAGACCTATTTGATATCACGGCGTGTGGAGGATAGCCCGACGTGATGAGGATCGCAGAGTATGGTGCTGATACAGGTGGAAGGATGACCAGGGCGACCCGAGATTTGAACCCTTGTTATATCAGGCTAGGGAGACGATACAAAGAAACTGTGCTTACGATCCAGCGGAAAATACAATAAAACTGCGTTAAGTCGAAGTCCTGGGACAATCGAGTAGCCCGTAGTTCTCGTGGCGGAGTCAACCTCTTTGAACATGCAAAGACAAGGACTATCAAGTTGAATTTTTTAAACGAAAAATCGAAATACTGGATTTCGCGAGGTGAAATAGGGTTTAACGTCGCGTCCAAGATTATTGTACTTATAAAGCAAAGTTCGTCTTAAGAGTTCGACTTGGCTTAATATATATATATATATATGTATCCTTTTATATACATTGGGATGTAAAACTCCCTGTGAACGAATTCATTTACTCTTCTGTGATGTTATTTAACATTCAATATGTTTTGTATATGTATATGTGTATATAGTGACCATATACCGTAGGTTGGCATAGAAGCAATGTGTATGGCTGACGTACGGTTCATATCATGTATCGATCTTTATTGTTTTACAATATATGTACAGTGTTAAGAATAAATGGGAGAAATAATAATCGTTTATTGTTTATCTTTATTATTAAAAGCCATGTTGAAACAAAGAAAATTAATCAAGCACTGCACTGTGTTAAGAACGCTTTGCAGGGGGGAGGGAGGGAGGGAGTGAGTGAGTGAGTGAGCAGGAGTTTTGACACTGCTTGGTGCAATATTCCACAGTATCATTGTGGTGAAATCAGGAATGGTCTTTCCTCATATTACCAATGGTGGAATCGAAACCAGCTCGCCAGTGTCACGTGTGGACGCTTTAACCATCCGAGATGAATTGTTTTGATTCCCCCCAACAAAAAATATGCTTCAGACTGTTAAAAAACGAAATAAATTGCTGTAACATTTTGTTTAAAAAAATTAATAGGCACATGGTTTTAATTTAAACATGAGCATGTTTTGCATCTTTGGCTGAAATATCTAGTTTGTTTTTTGTCTTGTTCCTTTTCGTTGTTTGGTTTTTTTAAAAATTGTTTTGATTTTTTTTCTTTCTTTTTTTTTCGGAGGGATTGTTTTTGTTGTATTTTGTTTGGCGGGGGTGTGAAGTATGCGCGCGCTTCCGATTGGTCTGATATTTTTAAGCAAAATCATTTGATTTACAAAGGCTTAATAAGCAGTGTAAAAAAAACAACGGGAGTGATTTTGTATAGTATTTTATCGCCTGCTCCAAATACCGAAACATAACATAATACACCAGATGAAATACAATCAGATTTTTATTGACAAAATCAGTTTCGCAGTTAAAATCATGCTGTTTTTTTTGTAAAAATGCCATTGTTGTCTTAAACCCAACCAATGTCAGAGTGAATTGGGGGATTATTTCGATAGCGCGTGAAGTGCGCGTGAAATGATATTTGCACCAGTGCACATACGCGGTTATGAACACGGTTATTTCTAAATGGATTATCATACGAGCATGTGTGTCATACTGATTTCACGAAACGAGTGTCACAATTCGTGTATTTCCCGAGCGAGAGCGAGGATAATACAGCAATTCTCACACGGAATTCGTAGAATCAGTATGACACACACGTGAGTGTTATAATTTCTTTATTATCCATTCCGACATTACGTCACAATAAGATTCGAATGACGTCAACATTGCCGTCCGGATGACGTACGCAATATACACAGGTGCGAATGAAGATATATTTGCACTGGTATAAACTCGGTTATTTATTACCTATGGGAAATAATAGGTAAAATGTATATCGACTTGTTTGAGACAATATATAATTCCCCAATATACAGATTTGCTTTGATACCATGCTGTAATAAGTCTTGTCAAGCATGTGGTTATTATTGGTTACCCAAAATTACATTTCAAACTGACGGCGTTCATTTGAAATGGATATACTAATATGATTAGAACAAAATACATTGTTCTAGAATCGAAGAAATACATTCAGATCCTTGTGGTCCTAGATATCATTCGGACATAAATCAAATATCCCTAGAATGTTTAAAGCTTTATAATGATACTGCTGACACGATAAAAGCTGTTTTAACGATTCAATTTTGAATGGGTATAGGGTGATATTTCACTTCATTATCATTACAGTAAACTACGTTTATAACGAACGGACGAATAGCGAATTGACGGATATAACGAATTGTTTTATTGTCCTGGGCCCACTTGCACAAAGCGATCTTAGCGCTAAGATGATCACAACTCCCATACTTTAACATTGGCTTACAATAGTCTTAGCGCTAAGATCGCTTTGTGCAAGTGGGCCCCGGCCATTTGCTGTGTATATGCGGTATATGTGCTTATAACGAACAACGGTTAAAACAAACTAAAATAAGTTGTCCCTTTGAGTTCGTACATGTAGTTTACTGTATTTTCAAATTAATTATTGTATCATTGATAAAAGAAATATTTTCACAAACGTTGCGTGGTGTAAAAAGAACAAAGCACGATTCAGTCCCGCTGCATTTCAAAACAAAACAAATCAAAGATCACGTTTGATCATTATTCTCGGAGAAGCACTTGAGTATCCTTTAAAAGGGAGGTAACTCATGATGCCAGGACGCACGATCACAGGTAACAAAATGGATAGAGTACAAATAACAGTATCATTTGATCATCACTTTTCCCATTGTAAACATCATCGGCATATACTTCTATACACATACAAAAACATGTTTATCACAGCCGGTGTGTAACGTTGTTAGCATACAATAACATGTTTATTACAGCCGGTGTGTAATGTTGTTAGCATACAATAACACGTTTATTACAGCCGGTGTGTAATGTTGTTAGCATACAATAACACGTTTATCACAGCCGGTGTGTAATGTTGTTAGCATACAATAACACGTTTATCACAGCCGGTGTGTAATGTTGTTAGCATACAATAACACGTTTATCACAGCCGGTGTGTAACGTTGTTAGCATACAATAACACGTTTATCACAGCCGGTGTGTAATGTTGTTAGCATACAATAACACGTTTATCACAGCCGGTGTGTAACGTTGTTAGCATACAATAACACGTTTATTACAGCCGGTGTGTAACGTTGTTAGCATACAATAACACGTTTATTACAGCCGGTGTGTAATGTTGTTAGCATACAATAACACGTTTATTACAGCCGGTGTGTAACGTTGTTAGCATACAATAACACGTTTATTACAGCCGGTGTGTAACGTTGTTAGCATACAATAACACGTTTATTACAGCCGGTGTGTAATGTTGTTAGCATACAATAACACGTTTATTACAGCCATGTGTAACGTTGTTAGCATACAATAACACGTTTATTACAGCCGGTGTGTAACGTTGTTAGCATACAATAACACGTTTATTACAGCCGGTGTGTAACGTTGTTAGCATACAATAACACGTTTATTACAGCCGGTGTGTAATGTTGTTAGCATACAATAACATGTTTATCACAGCCGGTGTGTAATGTTGTTAGCATACAATAACACGTTTATCACAGCCGGTGTGTAATGTTGTTAGCATACAATAACATGTTTATTACAGCCGGTGTGTAACGTTGTTACCATACAATAACACGTTTATTACAGCCGGTGTGTAATGTTGTTAGCATACAATAACACGTTTACTACAGCCGGTGTGTAACGTTGTTAGCATACAATAACACGTTTATCACAGCCGGTGTGTAACGTTGTTAGCATACAATAACACGTTTATTACAGCCGGTGTGTAATGTTGTTAGCATACAATAACACGTTTATTACAGCCGGTGTGTAACGTTGTTAGCATACAATAACACGTTTATTACAGCCGGTGTGTAACGTTGTTAGCATACAATAACACGTTTATTACAGCCGGTGTGTAACGTTGTTAGCATACAATAACACGTTTATTACAGCCGGTGTGTAATGTTGTTAGCATACAATAACACGTTTATTACAGCCGGTGTGTAACGTTGTTACCATACAATAACACGTTTATTACAGCCGGTGTGTAACGTTGTTACCATACAATAACACGTTTATTACAGCCGGTGTGTAACGTTGTTAGCATACAATAACACGTTTATTACAGCCGGTGTGTAACGTTGTTACCATACAATAACACGTTTATTACAGCCGGTGTGTAACGTTGTTAGCATACAATAACACGTTTATTACAGCCGGTGTGTAATGTTGTTAGCATACAATAACACGTTTATTACAGCCGGTGTGTAACGTTGTTACCATACAATAACACGTTTATTACAGCCGGTGTGTAACGTTGTTACCATACAATAACACGTTTATTACAGCCGGTGTGTAATGATGTTAGCATACAATAACACGTTTATTACAGCCGGTGTGTAATGTTGTTACCATACAATAACACGTTTATTACAGCCGGTGTGTAACGTTGTTACCATACAATAACACGTTTATTACAGCCGGTGTGTAACGTTGTTACCATACAATAACACGTTTATTACAGCCGGTGTGTAACGTTGTTACCATACAATAACACGTTTATTACAGCCGGTGTGTAACGTTGTTACCATACAATAACACGTTTATTACAGCCGGTGTGTAACGTTGTTACCATACAATAACACGTTTATTACAGTCGGTGTGTAATGTTGTTACCATACAATAACACGTTTATTACAGCCGGTGTGTAACGTTGTTACCATACAATAACACGTTTATTACAGCCGGTGTGTAACGTTGTTACCATACAATAACACGTGTATTACAGCCGGTGTGTAACGTTGTTACCATACAATAACACGTTTATTACAGCCGGTGTGTAACGTTGTTACCATACAATAACACGTTTATTACAGCCGGTGTGTAACGTTGTTACCATACAATAACACGTTTATTACAGCCGGTGTGTAACGTTGTTACCATACAATAACACGTTTATTACAGCCGGTGTGTAACGTTGTTACCATACAATAACACGTTTATTACAGCCGGTGTGTAACGTTGTTAGCATACAATAACACGTTTATTACAGCCGGTGTGTAAAGTTGTTAGCATACAATAACACGTTTATTACAGCCGGTGTGTAACGTTGTTAGCATACAATAACACGTTTATTACAGCCGGTGTGTAACGTTGTTACCATACAATAACACGTTTATTACAGCCGGTGTGTAATGTTGTTACCATACAATAACACGTTTATTACAGCCGGTGTGTAACGTTGTTAGCATACAATAACACGTTTATTACAGCCGGTGTGTAAACTTGTTAGCATACAATAACACGTTTATTACAGCCGGTGTGTAACGTTGTTAGCATACAATAACACGTTTATTACAGCCGGTGTGTAACGTTGTTACCATACAATAACACGTTTATTACAGCCGGTGTGTAACGTTGTTAGCATACAATAACACGTTTATTACAGCCGGTGTGTAACGTTGTTACCAACACCATTGTGATCACCGCCTGGCGTCTTGTTACTCTCGTTCTTGTCTCTCGTCACTTGAACGCTGGGCAGTGTCTGGTTGATGCTCACACACACCAAGCACACGCCGGTGACGAACACAAACACTAGCATAATCATCATAATAATCAGCCCCTGCTGGACGTCATACATCTGAATACTGACACTTATCCCAACGAAGATGACAAACATGACGAAAGAGAACACAAGACCGACGGCCTTCTTCAAGGTCGACGGGTTCTTCTTCACGTCTCTCAGTTTCGTCTCCAACTTAAAAAGCCCCCAAAACAGCAGCCAGGCGTATATGAAACCTAGATAATACACGGCGGGGATGCGGACAACCTCCTGGAGTCTGACGAACGTGCGACCTTGAGCGTCCGGGATCCAGCTGTACATGTACAGGATAACGCCGATGTAGATGGCAAGGGGGATAACTCGAAATGCAGCATGGATCTTCCGCCAGAACGGCAACGAAAATATCTGAAATAGAGACGGTAATTGAAGACCATTATTTATGAGTACAGTCCTGTTCATATTTAACTTCCCTTCGAACACGATTTGGTCAGGCTAGGAGCTTGTGACCCCGTCGGGATATAGTACTGTCGGGTATATGGCCCAGATGCACAAATAAAATTAGTGGCTATGATTAACATTATATTAAGCAGTCCTGGGCCCACTTGCACAAACCGATCTTAGCGCTAAGATGATCGTGACTCACATACCTTAACATAGGCTTACGATAGTCGTAGCGCTGAGATCGCTTTGTGCAAGCAAATGGCACCAAAGCGAATGGACAACCCTTTTATATTAATCTGACCGATCCAGACAGGATTGCGGTCGAGGAGATATTAGTTGTAAAGTGTCGTGCATATCTGTTTTCATTTACAGGGCTTTGAGGGGGACACGGGTGGCCCAGTCCTCTAAGGCGCCGCGATTCGCTGTGCTGAGTTGCGTCCCTTGGGCACGCCAGAAACCTATAATTGCGGGTTCGAATCCCGGTTCGCCCCAATTATGTTTCTAGGTTTGTCAGCACCATACCCGTGCTCGTGGGTTTCACTGAAGTGGTAAACGTCTGAGGCCTGCATCACTTCGAGCTTTCCTCCCACATTAAGCTGACACGCCGCAATATGACTGGAATACTGTTAAAAGCGGTGTTAAACCCAACTCACTCACTCACTCACTCACTACAGGGCTTTGATACGACGTACACATTTCTGTTTGAGATGAACCCTTCCTTGACCGTTAGGCCCCAAAACAGGAAACATGATCTTGTTAAGATAACTGTTTGCTGCAAACTTCGTGAATATAACAGTTCGCAATTTATTATTTCAGATCAACGAATCGTAAGTTCGGAGTAATGTCCCTCAGTAAATACACACATGTAGGTTTTTTCAACAAGCAGAGCCCCCAACGCGGGCTTTCCACAATAAGCGTTTTATACATATTCCCAGTGCTGCCTTGACTAAGAAAACGTACAACTATGGATAACAGCTTCTGGTTTATTGCATTCAAGCTGGGGTGAGTGAGTGAGTGAGTATGGTTATACGCCGCTTTAAGCAATATTCAGCAATATCACGGCGGGGGACACCAGAAATGGGCGTCACACATTGTACCCATATCGGGAATCGAACCCGGGTCCTCGGCCTGACGAGCGAACGCTTTAACCACTAGGCTACCCGATCGCCCCTCAAGCTGGAGTGACAACAACCAAGCGATGAGAGGTGCATATCTATGACATGTTGCAACAGATCAACATTGACAACAACGGGTAACAGATAACAAGTATCACACAAATGAAGCACGTGGGTGAAGAAGCCAGATGTACAATCAGGATAAGGATTAGAAGGATAAAAAAGTTGTGACAAGCTGATTGGATATTAATTAAAACAGTCTATTGCTTGATTAGATCTTCATTGGTAGACGAGATGTAATACCCTACAGGGGTAATCCAATTCTCTGTATGCTACTTGTTATCTTTTAACCGTTGTTGTCAATGTTAATCGGCTGCTTATCACAACGTATCATGCATATACTAGTATACATCTAAACACTTGGTTGTTGTCACTCCACGACGGTGGGAGAGTCTACATAGAATCGTCGCTTTTTGCAAGAAACATAACGTTGTACCTTTTCTTACTTACTCACAACTTCTAGAATGCCAATCAAACAGTTATATGAAACGGACGCTTGTTATGCTATTCACACGCACCTGTGACACGACAATGAGAAAGGAAAATCCAAAACAGAACATTGGCCAAAGCTTGGTGCCAAGGAGATCCGGCCCTCCAGTCTGTAGGGCGACCACGGTGCCGTGGAGTGTGACCCAGGTCTCCAAAAGCAGCCGCCAGTATTTGTTAAGATGGAAGTTGGTATAAATCAAACTGCCTGGAAGACAAAACACGGGGATATGTGATCAAAAACATCTTTCCATTGCATACCCACACAGGGGCGGTCGGGTAGCCGAGTGGTTAAAGCGTTCGCTCGTCACGCCGAAGACCCGGGTTCCATTCCCGACATGGGTACAATGTGTGAAGCCCATTTCTGGTGTCCCCGTCGGGATATTGCTGGAATATTGCTAAAAGCGGCGTAAAACCATACTCACTCACTCGCATACCCACACATGAAAACATAAAACATATCCTCTGAAACTACCGGATAGACATACGCATGAGTGAGGATGGTTTTACGCCGCTTTTGCAATATTCCAGTAACATCACGTCGGGGACAGAAAACATGGATTCACACATTCTACACATGTAGGGAATCGAACCCTGCATTCGAACATGCGAACATGCGAACATGCGAACATGCGAACACGTTATCCACTAGGCTACCCCTTCGCCTCACATAAGTATGATATTCAGTGGCACCCCGTTAATGTACGTGTGGACGGTATAATTCGCTGTCAAATACGTGGCCGCCTCCGTGGTCTAGTGGATAGAGCGTCTGCCCGGAGAGCGGAAAGTCGGGGGTTCGATCCCTGACCGCGTCATACTAAAGAACGTTAAAAGATGGTATTTATTGTAACCCTGAATGGCGCTCTGCATGAAGGGGGTAAACCAAGGACTGGTTGGCATGGAGTCAATACACTGTGTCTGAGTGGGGTATTCATGTTAAATTGCGGCATGGTATCTCAGTGGGTTAGAACTATAAATTGGGCTTTAGTCCGGACTAGCACAAGTAGCCACACGCGTGCACACACCCATACGCACGCACGCACACGCACACACAGACACACGCGCGCACACACACAGACACACGCACACACACAGACACGCACACACACAGACACACGCACACACACAGAAACGTGCATGCACGTCGCTATATAAGTGCAATAATCTTGAACGCGACGTTAAATCCAATTTCACCTCACCTCAGAAATATATATTTTATATACATTCGAAACAGCAATCGTCTAGAAAGAGGTTTTCTGGACCAAAACGGTTTCCGTACTAAAAGAGAGCTCAAATGTGTCCATGAGGACGGATACATCATAACAGCATGTATGGCTAACTGTTGCCGGCATCGATGACCAACACACGAACACATAGATATCTACCTTGCAGCATTATTATCCAAGTGTGGAAGAACCCTAAGGCATGCCCCCATGTGTTTTCCATCGGGTGGTACCAAAACGTATAGATGGCGCCCCAAGCAAAGGCGTAACCATGGTAACGTCTGATGAAGGTGAAGGCCGCCTGATCCAGTCTGAGTTTCTTGCTGAACTTGTCCTGCTGAAGGTCAGTGGGCCAGAGGAAGACGATGCCCCGGTCTCGATATTCGATCAACATGATGAACACCAGAATCATGACGACGGAGCCTGGAGTGAACAACTAGAATCAGTCATGGTCGTATTGGTGAGCAATGTACATCAGTCATGGTCGTATTGGTGAGCAATGTACATCAGTCATGGTCGTGTCGATGGGCAATGTACATCAGTCATGGTCGTGTCGATGGGCAATGTACATCAGTCATGGTCGTATTGGTGGGTAATGTACATCAGTCATGGTCGTATTGGTGAGCAATGAACATCAGTCATGGTCGTGTCGATGGGCAATGTACATCAGTCATGGTCGTATTGGTGAGCAATGGACATCAGTCATGGTCGTGTCGATGAGCAATGTACATCATTCATGGTCGTGTCGATGAGCAATGTACATCAGTCATGGTCGTATTGGTGGGCAATGTACATCAGTCATGGTCGTGTCGATGAGCAATGTACATCAGTCATGGTCGTGTCGATGGGCAATGTACATCAGTCATGGTCGTATTGGTGGGTAATGTACATCAGTCATGGTCGTATTGGTGAGCAATGGACATCAGTCATGGTCGTGTCAATGGGCAATGTACATCAGTCATGGTCGTATTGGTGAGCAATGTACATCAGTCATGGTCGTATTGGTGAGCAATGTACACCAGTCATGGTCGTATTGGTGACCATGTACATCAGTCATGGTCGTATTCTTGGGTAATGTACATCAGTCATGGTCGTATTGGTGGGTAATGTACATCAGTCATGGTCGTATTGGTGAGCAATGGACATCAGTCATGGTCGTGTCAATGGGCAATGTACATCAGTCATGGTCGTATTGGTGAGCAATGTACATCAGTCATGGTCGTATTGGTGAGCAATGTACACCAGTCATGGTCGTATTGGTGACCATGTACATCAGTCATGGTCGTATTCTTGGGTAATGTACATCAGTCATGGTCGTGTCGATGGGTAATGTACATCAGTCATGGTCGTATTGATGAGCAATGTACATCAGTCATGGTCGTGTCGATGGGCAATGTACATCAGTCATGGTCGTATTGGTGGGTAATGTACATCAGTCATGGTCGTATTGGTGAGCAATGTACATCAGTCATGGTCGTATTGATGGACAATGAACATCAGTCATGGTCGTTTTGATTGGCAATGTACATCAGTCATGGTCGTGTTGATGGGCAATGTACATCAGTCATGGTCGTGTCGATGGGCAATGTACACCAGTCATGGTCGTATTGATGAGCAATGTACATCAGTCATGGTCGTGTCGATGGGCAATGGACATCAGTCCTGGTCGCATTGATGGACAATGTACATCAGTCATGGTCGTGTCGATGGACAATGGACATCAGTCATGGTCGTATTGATGGACAATGGACATCAGTCATGGTCGTGTCGATGGACAATGGACATCAGTCATGGTCGTGTCGATGGGCAATGTACATCAGTCATGGTCGTATTGATGGGCAATGTACATCAGTCATGGTCGTATTGATGGGCGATGTACATCAGTCATGGTAGTGTCGATGGACAATGTACATCAGTCATGGTCGTATTGATGGGCAATGTACATCAGTCATGGTCGTGTCGATGGGCAGTGTACATCAGTCATGGTCGTGTCGATGGGCAATGTACATCAGTCATGGTCGTGTCGATGGGCAATGTACATCAGTCATGGTCGTATTGATGAGGAATGTATCAGTCATGGTCGTGTCGATAGGCAATGTACATCAGTCATGGTCGTGTCGATGGACAATGTACATCAGTCATGGTCGTGTCGATGGGCAATGTACATCAGTCATGGTCGTGTTGATGGGCAATGTACATCAGTCATGGTCGTATTGGTGAGCATTGTACATCAGTCATGGTCGTGTCGATGGGCAATGTACATCAGTCATGGTCGAATTGGTTGGCAATGTACATGAGTCATGGTCGTATTGATTGGCAATGTACATCAGTCATGGTCGAATTGGTTGGCAATGTACATTAGTCATGGTCGTGTCGATGGGCAATGTACATCAGTAATGGTCGTGTCGATGGGCAATGAACATCAGTCATGGTCGTATCGATGAGCAATGTACATCAGTCATGGTCGTATCGATGGACAATGAACATCAGTCATGGTCGTATTGATGAGCAATGTACATCAGTCATGTATCGTATTGATGAGCAATGTACATCAGTCATGGTCGTGTCGATGGACAATGGACATCAGTCATGGTCGTATCGATGGACAATGAACATCAGTCATGGTCGTATCGATGGCCAATGAACATCAGTCATGGTCGTATTGATGGACAATGAACATCAGTCATGGTCGTATTGATGAGCAATGAACATCAGTCATGGTCGTATTGATGAGCAATGTACATCAGTCATGGTCGTATTGATGGACAATGTACATCAGTGATGGTCGTTTAGAAGAGCAATGTACATCAGTCCTGGTTGTATTGATGGGCAATGTACATCAGTCATGGTCGTGTTGATGGGCAATGTACAGCAGTCATGGTCGTATTGATGAGATGTATCAGCCATGGTCGTACTGATGGGCAATGTATCAGTCATAAAAGTCCACTATGGTTCATTGTTTTACATTAGTGAGTGAGAGAGTTTATATGCCGCGTTAAGCAATTTTGCAGCAATATCACAGCAGGAGACACTAAGCCTTCACACGTTAGAGCCATAGTGGATCTTCGTTTTCACAATCGAACGACCCTTCATCACAAGAATATTGTGAAGACACAGCCCCTATCAATAAATTAGTTTGCAAAATGAGTGAGTTATGTTTAACGCATCATAAAATAGTTTTTTGAAATTTAAACGGCGTATCAGCTTAATGTGAACAGGTAATACTATGCTGAAAAACCAAGGATCATAGTTATAACGAATCTTGGATTCCCATGCTCTAGGAATCCAGACAGTTTCAGGACATATCCCTGCACCGCAAATTGCACGGCCTGAAGGGAAATCCTACAATATCCAATACACGCATAAAACGTTCGACCATGCCAGGGATCGAGCTAAACTGGCAAGATGGCTTACTTTGAGAGCTGGCAATAGACACATCGGAGGCAAGAGCGTCATACGTCGTGTGCGTCTGCGCAAGATGGAGAAGGTGGAAGAATACATGGAGACCGAAGGAAATATAGTTCCACTTGGTGAGTCGGGTGCTGTAACGTTGGGACTTCGTCACCTGTGCCTAGAATAGAAGATTCATTTGACAATGATAGAAGTACAACATATCTTATACAGCAGAACAATCGAGTTTAGTACCATGAATCTGATAATGGCTAAAAGTAGAATGCGCTGTGATCAGGCAATTTTGCAAACTTGAGGTGTTTTTACATGAAAGAATACCCAAAAAACTACACGGTTTCTTCACGCCATCACACGTGCCTAATGCGTGTGTAACTCCATATCAACTTCACCGAGACGTTTCCAACGGCTTCCGTCGTTTCGTTGCAATTAAAGATTGGGAACGTGATTCGATATAAACATTGTTAAGATTACCCCTTGAGGACGTTTGCCATGCCACCAGTGAACACCTGTTTAGTGAGATGAGGTGGGGTTTTCGTCGCGTTCTGGTCTATTGCACTTATATAGCTACCTGTATGCACAGGAGTATGTACGTGGCTGCTTGTACTTGCCCGGGCTAACGTCACTTTTATAGTGCACCCCACTCAGACACAATACACTGTCTCCGAGCCGAACAGTCCTTGTTTTAACCCCTTATGTCGTTCTCCAGGCAGGGTAACAACAAGTACCATCTTTTAACGTCTTTTTGTATGACGCGGCCGGGGATCGAACCACCGATCTTCTGTTCTCTAGGCAGACGCTCAATCAACTAGACCACGGAGGCGGGACTGATAACGTGAAGACTGGGTATGTAGGCGATCAACTAAGTGTGTTTCGAAATTTGATGTCGTCCCACTGTAGAGTAGATACCTCTTATTTTAATTTGCAACCGAGCGCTTTCACGATCGGTAGCCATTTTTAATGAATCGATATGTAGGCTATCGATGTATTCATACGCGCGTTTTTTGTATGAAAAGCTTAGTATATTTAAAAGGGGTTTCCGTCGAAAAAAGGAAACCTCTTTTTAACCAATCAGAATCAAGCTTTCTCCAGTGTCAAGGTAGAATACCTTGTGGTGTTGTGCGATGTACAGGACCGTCCAAGTCAAAACCTGGTGTCCGATGTAGCAGAGCCAGGCAAACAGTTGTGTGTAGGGGGTCACTCTGTCCGGGGGGAGCTTCCAGTAGTACCACCGGGAGTCAGGCTCAACGCCGTACCTGGGGGAGGGGTCAGACAGCTTATTTAAAACATAGAAGTAGTAGGGTGGGGATCACTCTCTCTCAAGGTCGTACCTTATGCATTTGTTGACTAATGGACCGGGTGGTCAGACTCGATGCTCATGATATCAATCACTGGATTGTATGGTCCAGATTCGATTATTTACAGACCGCCGTCAAATAGCTGGAATAGTGCTGAGTGCGTCGTTAAACAACAAACAACAAACAAACAGAATTTAAGGGCGAGGAATGAACAGCCATAGGTTATTTACGCTAAAGGTGTTAGACAATGCATGACAACTGCTGAAAGATTAAGAGTGACGTGTAGTAGTGGCAGCATGGCTTACATAACTTGAGCCACAGGTAGGCCTATGTGCTCACACGAACTTGTCATTTCTACTTACCTCCCTTTTACGCCAGGTTCCGGTACAAATGGTTCTGGGAGGAACCTCTCCCGTGAGGTGGCGCTGGTGTTGTGCGTGTGTCCTGATTGTGCATCCCAGTGTCTAGCGTGGCCTGAGTGAAAGATGAAGAATCAATGTGTATTTCTCGTGAGTATCAAATAGTGAGTGAGTGAGTGAGTACGGTTTTACGCCGCTTTTAGAAATATTCCAGCAATATCACGGCGGGGGACACCAGAAATTGGCTTCACACATAGTACACATGTCGGGAATCGTACCCGGGTCTTCGGCTTGATGAGCGAACGCTTTAACCACTAGGCTACCCGACCGCCCCGAGTATCAAATAATTTCACGCAGTTTATATGTATGTATAGTAATCCGAAAATAGGTGTTTACCAGTTTCTGGAGAGGCTTTTTGTTTACTTTTGGGGTCTTTGGATGGTTGGTTGTTTGTTTAACGCCGCACTCAGCAATATTCCAGCTATATGACGGCGGTCTGTAAATAATCGAGTCTGGACCAGACAATCCAGTGATTAATACCATGAGCATCGATCCACGCAATTGGGATCGATGATATGGGGGTCTTTGGTAGGGCAGCTGTAATTTACGCGGAAGTGACTTTGTAGCTCTTTATTTTCATCTGAGTCTCATCATAAACTCATACAGAACAAACTAAAAAAAAGATGGTGGTGACTCCGAGGAATCAGTTAGCTGTGCTGTTACCTATGCCGAAGATGATGCCGATGAGGATGACAATGAAGGCGATGCCGCCGGACCACAGAAAGATGTCTTCCCGTTCCCGCACCGCTTTACTCCTTGTCTTCACATCACTCTGGAAGAGGGACACACTTTACTCCACAGTAAAATACATTGCCATTGTTTCAAAGTGGCGTTACACCCCAATCTTCCAATCTTCCTAAAAACTAAACAGTACCAGACTGTCTGGTATGAGTGAGTGAGTTCATTTGGTTTAACGCCCCCTTAAACAGTATTTAGTCATGTCAAGCATGTCAGCCTGATGATAGGGGATGCCTGAAGAGATGCGGCTCTATGAACTAGTGAGTGAGTGAGTATTGTTTTACGCCAATTTTAGCAATATTCCAGCAATATCACGACGGGGGACACCAGAAATGAGCTTCACACATTGTACCCATGTCGGGAATCGAACCCGGGTCCTCGGCCTGACGAGCGAACGCTTTAACCACTCGGCTACCCGACCTCCCCTCGATGAACTAACAAAATACTATTTAATAGTGTTTCCCTTCGTGACAGGTAGCAGATTACCGTAACAAATTATTTTAGAATTATAAAAAATGTTGACGTGCATATTTCACAAGATGTTTCACATATTCTACAGATATTGCATTCTGTTGTAAACTATTCAGGTGAATCACGGCTTGTCTGTTTGCTGGGCCAGAGAAGCTCCAAAACGAGGCAAGCCGTTGACACCCTGGGCCTCGGTGAAACCCACTATAACGGGTAAAATGCTCACATACCAGGGATCATACACAGGCAGAATCTTGGATTCAAACCCATGAACACATAATCCTTGTGTAGGTAAGGGACACAACTCCGCGCAAGGAATCGCTGGAACCTTAGCCCACTAGACCACCCGTGCACCTTTAATGCATATGGCAAACCGGATGCCAGTGATAACCAAGATAAAGAATCAATGCATCCTTACCTCATCTTGTGTTTCATTAGGCTCCGCCTCCTTTCCATTGAAGGTTTGGTACGTCTAAAAAAACAAGTTAAAGCATATTCCATTATTATTAATTCCGTTTTTTACTAAAACAGGTTTCGTTTGTTTCAATTTGTTTTCGATTTTGAAGATCGTGAGACTAGCATGTCCTAAAATATATCGGTTTTAAAAAATATATATTGTACGTTATAAGGTAATAGTAGTCATGTGTGTTGATATGCGGGTCATATTTGTCATGCTAAGACAAACTAAAGCATAAATTCCAATATATACTAAAACAGCTTTCGTTTGTTTCAATTTGTTTTCGATTTTGAAGATCGTGAGACTAGTATGTCCTAAGAGATATCGGTTTAAAAAAATAATATTTTGTACGTTTTGATAAGGTAATAGTAGTCATGTGTGATGATATGCGAGTCATATTTGTCATGCTATGTGCTGAACCCCGTTATCTCGAATGTATCGATATCTCGAACTTATTCTCTGTCCCGACCGCCTCACTATTTAATTACATATAAATGCGCCCGCTTATTTCGAATTGAGGATACAAAATGGATAGCTCTATCTCGAACCTTGGGCTTGATGCCAACTTTGCCTTACTATAGAATTTTGTACCTTCATCTCAAGGGTTGGAATTTGCCACTTTTACATATTTAAGAAGCGCACAAACACATCTTACATAGCGTTGAGCAGTTCTCAATAATAATGTATATTTATAGGCCCAATATCCCAACATATCCTATGTGAATCAATTTATAAGAACTTACAGTCAGTTTGTAACAATGGCAAATACTTATTTAAATTCCTGAATACAAAATTGTCTTTTCAGTCTTGAATATGTGCACATGCTTGCTAGCAACGATAATAGTGTCATGTACATGTGTGATTATGGTTATTAAAATAAACTTATTTAGTATGTCCCGTGTGTGTACAGCCATATATCACGTGGCTGCGGAAAGGGTGCACCATTCATCTAAGGCTCCACAAATTACTGTGAAGAATTGTCTCCCTTGGTTGTGCCAGGATCCGCTGAAGTAAGTTTTTTGTTTGGTGCTGACAATGTGGTGGGGATGTCACCAAATAAAAAACGTCCACGAACTGCATAACCTGAGGCACATAGAGCTGGCACGCCGTGATGTGACCGATACGTTGTAGAATCTCTCTCCCCCCCCTCCCAAAACCCCCAACCCCACCCCCGCCACATAGTTGAAACATAGGTACTTTTTACTCGTGGGCTAAAATGCTATTTCTTACAATCCTTGCTGACTAATTGTGCACTGTTACATTATGAGAAAATTCATTTCGGTAATACGAAACGATTTCGCTCGAAAATAGATCGAGTACAAGCGTACTCTGGGTTTGACGTATATTATCTGTCCTTCAGCATTGTTCAATGCTGACGGGTGAAGTGTCCACATAATATTGGTTTGTCATGCGTCTCCCCGCCGCTCTGTAAACTCAATAACGGTACACTCAAAGCAGATTGAAAAGGAACGGAGGCTCAAGTATCAACGCCTGCGGAACTCTCTGTGGTTAAATGGACGTTTTCGACAATATATACATATAAAATGACGACGTCAATGTTTTTCCATATATGGACCATCATGGTTGGCTGAACGCGTAGTAGGTTATTCTGTTTACGTCGTCCCGGCCTGGAATATAATCTGTGTGTACGACGATTTGACAAATGAAGGGGATTGTGCATCTCTCTGGAAAGGGGGAATGCACAAATGTCTGCGAAAGGGGAATGCACAGCAATCTGGAAAAGGGGAATGCACAGATTTCTGGAAAGGGGGAATGTACAGCTTTCTGGAAAAGGGGAATGCACAGATTTCTGGAAAAGGGGAATGCACAGATTTCTGGAAAAGGGGAATGCACAGCTTTCTGGAAAAGGGGAATTTACAGATTTCTGTAAAAGGGGAATTTACAGATTTCTGTAAAAGGGGAATGCACAGATTTCTGGAAAAGGGGAATGCACAGATTTCTGGAAAAGGGGAATGTACAGCTTTCTGGAAAAGGGGAATGCACAGATTTCTCGAAAAGGGGAATGCACAGATTTCTGGAAAAGGGGAATGCACAGCTTTCTGGAAATGGGGAATTTACAGATTTCTGGAAAAAGGGGAATGCACAGCTTTCTGGAAAAGGGGAATGCACAGCTTTCTGGAAAAGGGGAATGCACAGATTTCTGGAAAAGGGAAATTCACAGCTTTCTTGAAAAGGGGAATGCACAGATTTCCGGAAAATGGGAATGTACAGCTTTCTTGAAAAGGGGAATGCACAGATTTCTGGAAAAGGGGAATGCACACCGTCGTGGAAAAGGGGGAATGCACAGATTCAATAATGCTAGCACATAATTCAGGAAACAATTTGGGTTTGTCAGCCAAACATTAGTCAATGAATGTTATAATTTTTGTTGAAATAATGTAATCAAATAACATGGTTATATGATAAAAGTCGCCATTGGTACTGAAGGAGCTGCGTATGTATATTCAGGTCGATCCTTTCGTTCTTCATCTGTAGCCAATGTACAAGGGGTGTATTTTAGTCACTACGTCATAGAACACTTTCACTTTGTTTAATATGTTCAAGTGAGCTAAATGAACTGAGTGACCACAGATCCCTAACACGAGGAGCAACATCGCCAGGAGGGTCCTGATGGGTGGGTCGCATAAGCAGTAAGCAGGAAAAAATTGGGTACTTTTACATTAAGCAGTAATTGTTTCTTCTTTTTTTAATAAAATCGTCGTGAAACATTCCTAAATCGGCCATGGAGGGACATGGGACTTATAATTCTGCTTTCGTTTTATCCTGACAATTCATATTTTTAATACCTGGTAAAATCGCAAATCGCTAAACATTCTAGACGGGTCCCCTGCGTCAGTTGCGCAGCCTGCTTTCTGTGGCGAAGCATTTGGGTCGTGAAGACAGACAGTTTTTGACCATTTTAATCATTTGACCATAAGCAGTAAATTATTTATTTACGTTAAGCAGTTGTTTTTTGGTATTTTACAATAAGCATAAAAAAAGATGAATTTTACGTGTACGATAGTGTTTTAAGTGTGTTTTACGTTAAGCATTAAAACCCATCAGGACCCTTAGTACGGGCACTGTGATCCTTTTGCTGCAGGGTTATAGTTACAATTCAACCTGTTAGGCCAAATATAGGCTGGGCGCCAATGTTCGTGGACAAATTATACCCACTGAGATGCTAGTGTGTGGACACTCACGTGTGTTTCCCATGCCACCACGATCATTCTTCTCGGGTAGGTACATTGAGTGAGCTGTGTATTTCACAGCTGTTATATCACAGTCTGTCCAGATTAGTATGGTATGGACGTCACGAAGGTCGTTGACCACTCGTTGCAACCGAAAACCGTTATGACCAGGGATCACAGTTGGGGAAAGTCTGGGATTTGACCACGACCTGCATACACACTGACCACTTTAGTTGCATCACTTCATACCACCATGTCTACCGTAACCCTCTAAATTATGCACACCTTTGAATGTTACACCTTGAAGTTGACATACATATCTCTGGCTCACATCAACAACAGGACATCGTAGCCGTAAGCAAACACATATATATATTTGCAATGACCCATGTATCATACGCTATTTCTTGTTTTCAATGTGTACAGCTACTTATTCACGTGTATTACGACTTCCTTGACCTTAATTCGCCCAAAAGTAAAAACGGATTTCACTGTGGAGTAGGATCCAGTACAGTTCTAACGGTTTATCACAATATCACAGCATATAGCAATGGTTGGTTGTACGACATCGTGATGTTCAGTATCGATACAAAGGATTAATGGAGTCACGGACTGACTCAGATGGTGTGATGGTGAACACATCATCAGATTCAGCAAGTAACCGCAAACTAGACCCGAGGCTATCGATGGAAACTATCGACCATCCTCATCAACCACAGTCTGTCACTTACCTTCGTGGCTGCCGATGTCATGCCGTTGTTTCTCCGTCTGACGTCTCTACGATCTGTAATTAGATGTTATCATGAAGCAAGGTGTTGGCCGTGAGGGGCACCTTGTCTGCACCTAGTCAGATGCTAAAGGCTCGTACACATTGGATTTGTATTATTTAAAAATGGCAAATGTCAAGAGGCTATTAACACGACTGGTGAGACTGCACGAATTATGGTTATAATAGATATATAAAGCTATTACATACACGTTGAATTGACAATAGAGGTTATGGATGAAAGGCTATGGATATAGAGAGCAAGATGTGAATGTAACACGTATTTCGATCACAACGTTTAGCAACACAATACTCTAAATGACATACGTCTTAAGGGGCGACTGGGTAAATGAGTGAATGAATATTGTTTAAAACCAAAGTCATCAATCTTCCAGCAATAATAAGACGTCCCTGTAAATACTAGAATCCGGACCAGGCAAACCAGTGGTTGACAGCATGAGTGACAATGGCCTACACTCAGCCAGGTCACACAGTGGAACCACCCGACTAGTCATTCTAGTCGGCTCTGGCGTCATGCATTAGGCGGTGGGGACCTGCCCCGGTGTCCCCCACAGACAGATTAAATATGGGGTGCTGGGGGCCTACAGTCTGTCCCGGAATAAACACAGGCAGACAAGTATAGGGTGCTGGAGACCTATCATCTGTCCCGGAATAAACACAGGCAGACAGGTATAGGGTGCTGGAGACCTATAATCTGTCCCGGAATAAACACAGGCAGACAGGTATAGGGTGCTGGTGGCCTATAATCTGTCCCGGAATAAACACAGGCAGACAGGTATAGGGTGCTGGAGACCTATAATCTGTCCCGGAATAAACACAGGCAGACAGGTATAGGGTGCTGGGGGCCTATAATCTGTCCCGGAATAAACACAGACAGACAGGTATAGGGTGCTGGGGGCCTATAATCTGTCCCGGAATAAACACAGGCAGACAGGTATAGGGTGCTGGGGACCTATAATCTGTCCCGGAATAAACACAGGCAGACAGGTATAGGGTGCTGGGGGCCTAAAATCTGTCCCGGAATAAACACAGACAGACAGGTATAGGGTGCTGGGGGCCAACAGTCTGTCCCGGAATAAACACAGACAGACAGGTATTGGGTGCTGGGAGCCAACAGTCTGTCCCGGAATAAACACAGGCAGACAGGTATAGGGTGCTGGGAGCCAACAGTCTGTCCCGGAATAAACACAGACAGACAGGTATTGGGTGCTGGAGACCTATAATCTGTCCCGGAATAAACACAGGCAGACAAGTATAGGGTGCTGGGGGCCAACAGTCTGTCCCGGAATAAACACAGACAGACAGGTAAAGGGTGCTGGGGGCCAACAGTCTGTCCCGGAATAAACACAGGCAGACAGGTATAGGGTGCTGGGGGCCAACAGTCTGTCCCGGAATAAACACAGGCAGACAGGTATAGGGTGCTGGAGACCTATAATCTGTCCCGGAATAAACACAGGCAGACAGGTATAGGGTGCTGGAGACCTATAATCTGTCCCGGAATCCACACAGGCAGACAGGTATAGGGTGCTGGAGACCTATAATCTGTCCCGGAATAAACACAGGCAGACAGGTATTGGGTGCTGGAGACCTATAATCTGTCCCGGAATAAACACAGGCAGACAGGTATAGGGTGCTGGGGACCTATAATCTGTCCCGGAATAAACACAGGCAGACAGGTATAGGGTGCTGGGGACCTATAATCTGTCCCGGAATAAACACAGGCAGACAGGTATAGGGTGCTGGGGGCCTAAAATCTGTCCCGGAATAAACACAGACAGACAGGTATAGGGTGCTGGGGGCCAACAGTCTGTCCCGGAATAAACACAGACAGACAGGTATTGGGTGCTGGAGACCTATAATCTGTCCCGGAATAAACACAGGCAGACAAGTATAGGGTGCTGGGGGCCAACAGTCTGTCCCGGAATAAACACAGACAGACAGGTAAAGGGTGCTGGGGGCCAACAGTCTGTCCCGGAATAAACACAGGCAGACAGGTATAGGGTGCTGGGGGCCAACAGTCTGTCCCGGAATAAACACAGGCAGACAGGTATAGGGTGCTAGGGGCCAACAGTCTGTCCCGGAATAAACACAGACAGACAGGTAAAGGGTGCTGGGGGCCAACAGTCTGTCCCGGAATAAACACAGACAGACAGGTATAGGGTGCTGGGGACCTATAATCTGTCCCGGAATAAACACAGGCAGACAGGTATAGGGTGCTGGAGACCTATAATCTGTCCCGGAATAAACACAGGCAGACAGGTATAGGGTGCTGGGGACCTATAATCTGTCCCGGAATAAACACAGGCAGACAGGTATAGGGTGCTGGGGACCTATAATCTGTCCCGGAATAAACACAGGCAGACAGGTATAGGGTGCTGGGGACCTATAATCTGTCCCGGAATAAACACAGGCAGACAGGTATTGGGTGCTGGAGACCTATAATCTGTCCCGGAATAAACACAGGCAGACAGGTATAGGGTGCTGGGGGCCTATAATCTGTCCCGGAATAAACACAGACAGACAGGTATAGGGTGCTGGGGGCCAACAGTCTGTCCCGGAATAAACACAGGCAGACAGGTATAGGGTGCTGGGGGCCAACAGTCTGTCCCGGAATAAACACAGACAGACAGGTATTGGGTGCTGGGGGCCTACAGTCTGTCCCGGAATAAACACAGACAGACAGGTATAGGGTGCTGGGGGCCAACAGTCTCTCCCGGAATAAACACAGGCAGACAGGTATAGGGTGCTGGGGACCTATAATCTGTCCCGGAATAAACACAGGCAGACAGGTATAGGGTGCTGGGGACCTATAATCTGTCCCGGAATGAACACAGGCAGACAGGTATAGGGTGCTGGGGACCTATAATCTGTCCCGGAATAAACACAGGCAGACAGGTATAGGGTGCTGGGGACCTAAAATCTGTCCCGGAATAAACACAGACAGACAGGTATAGGGTGCTGGGGACCTAAAATCTGTCCCGGAATAAACACAGGCAGACAGGTATAGGGTGCTGGGGACCTATAATCTGTCCCGGAATAAACACATACAGACAGGTATAGGGTGCGGGGGACCTATAATCTGTCCCGGAATAAACACAAGCAGACAGGTATAGGGTGCTGGGGACCTATAATCTGTCCCGGAATAAACACAGGCAGACAGGTATAGGGTGCTGGGGACCTATAATCTGTCCCGGAATAAACACAGGCAGACAGGTATAGGGTGCTGGGGACCTTTAATCTGTCCCGGAATAAACACAGGCAGACAGGTATAGGGTGCTGGGGACCTCTAATATGTCCCGGAATCAACACAGGCAGACAGGTATAGGGTGCTGGGGACCTATTGTGTCACAATAATCATCTATTCATGAACTAAATATGTAATTTATAAATAAATATCAGTGCACGCATTATGAACCACAACTTGTACTACTTTTGCACGCGGTATATAGCGGGGGCGTCATGTACTGTTATAAACGATTCAAGTGAGCTTGAGCGTGAGTAACCTGTGTTGAACTCTCCTGAGGGCGAAGTGCAGAAGAAAAACAAGGACCTGAAGGATGTCCCCGGCGATATATGATGACAGGAGGAAGGGGGTGGGGTGGGGTTGAGGGGCTCACGTGACTCCGGAAGGGTAATCCCATTTCAGAACGGTGAAGGTCGAGTGGAGTGTAGGCAGTGATTAATAATTATATCTCATCGGATATACGATTATATATCAGGTTGACTACGATTTTGAACATCATGTCACCTATACAATTAAGTACATCTAGGCGTTATATAACATCACGAATAGCATGTCGTCTGTACGATGAAGTATATCTAGGCAATATATAACATCATGAATATCATGTCGTCTGTACGATGAAGTATATCTAGGCCATATATAACATCATGAATATCATGCCGTCTGTACGATGAAGTATATCTAGGCGATATATAACATCATGAATATCATGTCGTCTGTACGATGAAGTATATCTTGGCGTTATATAACATCATTAATATCATGTCAGCTGTACGATGAAGTACATCTAGGCGTTACATAACATCATGAATATCATGTCAGTTGTACGGTGAAGTATATCTAGGCGTTATATAACATCATGAATATCATGTCAGCTGTACGCTGAAGTATATGTAGGCGTTATATAACATCATGAATATCATGTCAGCTGTACGATGAAGTATATCTAGGCGATATATAACATCATGAATATCATGTCTTCTGTACGATGAAGTATATGTAGGCGTTATATAACATCATGAATATCATGTCAGCTGTACGATGAAGTATATCTAGGCGTTATTTAACATCATGAATATCATGTCGTCTGTACGATGAAGTATATCTAGGCGTTATATAACATCATGAATATCATGTCAACTATACGATTAGGTATATCTAGGCGTTATATAACATGAATATCATGTTAGCTATACGATGAAGTATATCTAGGCGTTACATAACATCATGAATATCATGTCAACTGTACGATGAAGTATATCTTGGCGATATATAACATCATGAATAGCATGTCGTCTGTACAATGAAGCATATCTAGTCGTTATATAACATCATGAATATCATGTCAGCTGTACGATGAAGTATATCTATGCGTTATATAACATCATGAATATCATGTCGTCTGTACGATGAAGTATATCTAGGCATTACATAACATCATGAATATCATGTCGTCTGTACGATGAAGTATATCAAGGTGTTATATAACATCATGAATATCATGTCAACTGTACGATGAAGTATATCTATGCGTTATATAACATCATGAATATCATGTCAGATGGACGATGAAGTATATCTAGGCGTTACATAACATCATGAATATCATGTCGTCTGTACGATGAAGTATATCTAGGCATTACATAACATCATGAATATCATGTCGTCTGTACGATGAAGTATATCTATGCGTTATATAACATCATGAATATCATGTCAGCTGTATAATGAGGTATATCTAGGCGTTGTATAACATCATGAATATCATGTCAGCTGTATAATGAGGTATATCAAGGCGTTGTATAACATCATGAATATCATGTTGTCTGTACGATGAATTATATCTAGGCGTTATATAACATCATGAATATCATGTCGTCTGTACGATGAAGTATATCTAGGCATTACATAACATCATGAATATCATGTCGTCTGTACGATGAAGTATATAAAGGTGTCATATAACATCATGAATATCATGTCAACTGTACGATGAAGTATATCTATGCGTTATATAACATCATGAATATCATGTCAGATGGACGATGAAGTATATCTAGGCGTTATATAACATCATGAATATCATGTCGTCTGTACGATGAAGTATATCTAGGCATTACATAACATCATGAATATCATGTCGTCTGTACGATGAAGTATATCAAGGTGTTATATAACATCATGAATATCATGTCAACTGTACGATGAAGTATATCTATGCGTTATATAACATCATGAATATCATGTCGTCTGTACGATGAAGTATATGTAGGCGTTACATAACATCATGAATATCATGTCAGCTATACGATGAAGTATATCTAGGCATTACATAACATCATGAATATCATGTCGTCTGTACGATGAAGTATATCTATGCGTTATATAACATCATGAATATCATGTCAGATGGACGATGAAGTATATCTAGGCGTTGTATAACATCATGAATATCATGTCAGCTGTACGATGAGGTATATCTAAGCGTTGTATAACATCATGAATATCATGTCAGCTGTATAATGAGGTATATCAAGGCGTTGTATAACATCATGAATATCATGTCTGTACGATGAAGTATATCTAGGCGTCATATAACATCATGAATATCATGTCAACTGTACGATGAAGGATATCTAGGCGTCGTATAACATCATGAATATCATGTCAGCTGTACGATGAAGTATATCTAGGCGTTATATAACATCATGAATATCATGTCGTCTGTACGATGAAGTATATCTAGGCGTTACATAACATCATGAATATCATGTCAGTTGTACGGTGTAGTACATCTAGGCGTTATATAACATCATGAATATCATGTCAGCTGTACGCTGAAGTACATCTAGGCGTTACATAACATCATGAATATTATATCAATTAACGATTTAGTATATCTAGGCTAATATAACATCATGAATATCATGTCAGCTGTACGATGAAGTATATCTGGGCAATATAATATTATACATATCATTTGAGATCATGTTTACTAAATTAGATAATATATATAATAATGTATATCATATATAGTATCTCCCGTCGTTTATATGATATATGAATATCATTATAAGTATTATATATCATATATATATATATATATATATGAATCATACGGTGTTTAGGGTCACGTATTTATTCACGCCAATAACCAAACCTCTACTAAGTAGTTACTGTTTAAATAGGTCAGACACATTTACTCGTGAGTATGAAGACTTACTGTGGTTCATTCTGCTACAACCTGTGCAAGAACCCTTTCAAATACAAAACCAATCCCTGAAACAGCCGACACTGCGATCTATATCTGGAGGGCACAGATTATTGCTGTAGCGTACATAAACGTCCACATGCACAAGACGAATGTGTGATTTACATTCGTACTTATAACGGTATAAAAAATTAACAAACACCACGACACCGCACGTACCTCAGGTCAAATTCCAGCCTCGCTACCTCGGAGTGGCCAGTGTTTGCGTTGGTTTATTGGTGAGACGAAATCTAGGTCACTGAGCTGAGGTTCACAAGTGATAAGACGCACGTGCAACACCTGCCTTCGGATAGCCATAGAAATCACATGACTTTGAATTTGGAGATTTGTCTCTGTAATTCTATTTATCAAATACACATTAGTTCAAATAATAATCTTGAGGATGAGGATATATGTTAGTTCTGGTTGGTAACGAGACGACTCGTTATTAGCTAGTACACCGTGCTGTTCGTCAGAGATATTGATTGATCTTCAGCTTATGTGAGGCAACCGTTGTTTATATCAACGGGGTCCGCCTTGTGGGAATATTTCATATGCTGGCTTTGGCGAACCTAATTATATCCCCTCTGGTTGATAACATAATAATAGAAACATGGACACATATGTTCAATAGGTTATGTAAGATAAAATCTGTATCGGATGTCGCTTCGAGCAAAGAATATGTTGATAGTAAGGAAATGCCTCAGAAACGATTTCTAACTATAAATAGCTGAGTATTCTAAAATCAATATTCGACTGAACCAACTATCTGGACAAAACGTATTTAATGTTTCGAGTTACACAACTGTTGTATCTTTAAATATAACCCCTGAATAATTTTATAGAACTCATAATGTGAGTAGGCCATCAAAATGTTTTTTGTTTTTTTTGTTTTTTGTTGTTTAACGCCGCACGCAGCAATATTCCAGCTATATGACGGCGGTCTGTAAATAATCAAGTCTGGACCAGCCAATTCAGTGATTGACATCATGAGCATCGATCCACGCACTTGGGATGCGATGACATGTATCAACAAGGTCAGCTTCTTACGAGAAGCATGGGTTTTTGAAGACCTATTCTACCCCGGATCTTCAAGGGTCCCATCAAAATGTAAGAATCAATTATATTTTCACATTTATGTTCCACATGAGGGCATTTCCAATATTCAAAAATATCATTTCATGGGTAGGTTCTCGGCAGGATAAAGCCAAAGGATAAAAACGGTATCCGATGGCGTATAAAGATGCAAATATGGAATGAAAGGTCAGGTCGGTACTACTTTCAGTGTTTACAAACAAACATGGCGTCGCCCTTGTCAATCGGCACTCAAGCCAGGATGAACCATAGGATATCTGTCGATACTACTGGGATAATTGTTATCGTTATCAATACAATAGTCTAAGATAAACAATAGTCTACGTCTAACGTGGGTATAGCTGAGACATTTTACAAGTTTTGGCAACTTTGAACATATAAGTTACGAAACAATTTAGCGAGATTACTAGTCTTGCGGGATCAGATTCCATATTTGTGGAATTATTTTTCAAACTATTATTATTTAAGCCAGTGACCCACTAAGTGTACTTGTAGCTATAACCGATACGTCGCATTCATTGTAACAAGAAGGTGTATATCCATAGAACTATCTCCCTTGCTCAAAAGTGTGTGGTTAATTAATATGGTATAGTGAGAACAAATACATGTTCGCATGTTCTGTATGAAAGACGGATCACCACATCCCATGCACTTATACTTTTTTGTTTGTTTGTTTATTCAACGTTTTTCTCCCGAAACAGTATATTTACCATTCCAAAACACACGTGAAAACCTCCATACAGCACGACGGCCCGTAAATGCTTGTGCCTGGACCAGTCAAATTAGTGGTTGATTTTATGAGCAACGTCAAACGCAGTCGGGGTACGATGACAGGCAAATCACCAAGTCACCGAGCCTGGTACTGTAACTGTTCTTAGTTGAGGTATGAGAGAAGTAGAATGTATGTGTTATATCCCAAGCTAGGTGCATGTCGCGGGACAGAAGGTGTCGAAATTAGTGATGTCTTCTTCAAAACATATTTTACATACCATTAATTTGTCGAATTTCAAATTTTACCATTTTTTTCATATTTTTATATAATTTTTTAATTTGAAGTTTACACGATATACGGCTTTTCCATTGGACGAGAGGTCGGTCACATGACCGCGAAATTGACGTTCATAAGTGTATGAACGACACAATTTGACGTTCATACGTTTTTCACGAGACCGTGTTCTTGAAATGACGTAAACACTGACGGACTTCTTCCACATTCCAGGGGAAACCCCTGGGAATTCCCTAGCACGAAAACATACATAAGCGTTCTTTCTGATCATTTAGAACCTTTATTCTTGGTCTCATCGTTTCAGTATACATTGAGAAATGTCAGAGAGCGCGACTGCATGATTGTTCACGAATATCCTCGCTACGGCCTATCCTAATGAACAAACGAAGAAATGCACATCTAAACTATCGTAGTGTATCGACTCGCAAGCTCGGGCGTTCATACAGTTTGGCCCTCACTCTATGAAGGTTCATACTCCAATGAACTCACACAAAGTGAAGGTCAATTCTTAAATTTGTAAGCACCATATCCGTGCTCGTGGGTTTCACCAAAGTGTTAAACGTCCAAGACTTACATCATTTCGGGCTTTCCCTCACATTAGGCTTCCAGACTTAAATAACCGAAATACTGTTAAAAGCGGTGATAAAAGCAAAAAGGCTCACTCACACACCCAGCAGGGATGCCGCAATTAAAACACTGCTGTATGAGACCCATGAACATCCAGGGTAGAATAGGTCTTCAGCAACCCATGCTTGCCGTAAAGGGCGACTATGCTTGTCGTAAGAGGCGACTAACGGGATCGGGTGATCAGGCACGCTGACTTGGTTGATGCATGTCATTGATCCCAAGTGTATGGATCGATGCTCATGATGTCAATCGATGGATTGTTGGGTCAAGACTCGATTATTTACAGACCGCCGTCATATAGCTGGAATACAAACAAACAAACAAACTGCTGTATGACTATCAGTGAGTGAGTGAGTGAGTATGAGTTTATGCCGCTTTTAGCAAGCAGTATTCCAGCAATATCACAGCGGGGGACACTAGAAATTGGCTTCAGACATTGTAACCATGTTGGGAATCGAACCCAGGGTTCGGCGTGACGAGCGAGCGCTTTAACCACTAAGCTACCCCCGCCCCTTATCACAGACTGTCCTTTGACTTGGCACAAAAGTAACTAGGTTAGCCGTAAAGTGTCTGCAGGTAAAAGGCCCAGGTATGGTGCACTGTGTTGTATAACAGTTCAGTTTGTAGGACGTTATGAAACATCAATGTTGCATGGCAGTGTTGACGGATTTACTTTCCTTCATGTCCCGACATTTTACAGTATGAAATAATAATGTAATTTGACATTCATCCCTTAACATAAACTGAGAAATCTTTGAGGAATTATTATTTATATTATTATTTATTATTTAAGTGACTCACTTGCTTGATAACGGTGTAGTATCTTCACGGAAACGTTACAACATCTCATGCACTTATATGCTTCTTTTTTATCTGAGTCCGTGAACTGAATACGCTAACTGGGTTCAAGTCCAAGCGTGCAGAATGAAATTAATAAACTATAAAAGCACTGCACCATATGATTGACCTCAGTCAAGTTTCTCGGTTGCGTTGTCATTTTTTACGATTTTTCTTCACTTTTTTTCTTAAAATCTAATATATATTCTTATATAAAATAACCTATTCGAAACACGGAACTATATGACTGTCCCCCGTGAATGAATGATGCAATTTATAAGGCCACGGGCTTACACCGTTCAATCACTGAGGAATGAGGAATAATAGATTTTTATCTATATTAACAGCAATAGTTAAAAATGGCAGATTTATACATACATCTCATCGACGTTGAACGCAGCGGGAGGACCACTTCGTCAGCCTCAAGTAATGCGCCTATACGTCGTCGTCTACGGGGTCAGTGCCGGCCTCGTTTTGTCGTCATGGGTAGCCTGAGGAATAACCAGACTGTTGACATATATTACACTTGCTCAGCCCCTCATAAAACACGGGGTAGACGGCCGACAAACCTGTATATTACCAGTCATGTTATAACATCTGCTGGAACCGCATAGACTAACACGTAGTCTGTGAGACATTTCTTTAAAATAATTGTAATTTCTTTTTCTTCAAAAGAACCTTTCCTCTTCGGTCTGTTTTGGAACCAAGGAAACTAGACTTGGTTTAGTTTCATTAAGACTTGCCTAGGCTTTTAGTAAAAAAATGAATCTCTCTATATATAATTATATATATAAATTACAATCATAGCGCAGGACTAGAGTCTACATGGAGTAGGTGAGTTTGGTTTAACGCCACTTTGAACAGTATTCCTGTATGTCACGGCGTGTCAGCTTAATGTGGGAGGAAAGCCCGAGGTGATGCAGGTCTCAGACGTTTACCACTTCGGTGAAACCCACGAGCACGAGTATGGTGCTGACAAACCTAGAAGCATAATCGGGGCGAACCGGGTTTCGAACGACCTTCGGTTTCTGGTGCGCCGATAATACGCTATTGACGATTGACTCTACAGATAGAAAGTCGTTAAGAGCCAAATAGAAATAGCTCATCCATACTACACTTCTCTTTTTTTTATAGGGATAATCAGATATGTCATGTTCTATTTGATTATACACTTGGCATGTAATGAAAATCAGTTTTGTGTAATGGGTTGTGATAAACACACACCCCCCCCCCCCCCCCCCCCATCAAAACTGAAGTGGTATATTTGAACATTAGATACATATCCATCTTCAAAATACCACTCCGCCTGTCATTGCTGTCTGGATGAAGAATTCTTGTTCAAAATTAGAGTTATCGCCCTTTGTTGCAAAATTCCCTCTCCCCTCCGATTCTTCGTTAGAGCCGTGTTGCAGTACTGGGGCCTATATTTCAACCTTTTTTTAATATTTTAAACTAACCAAACAAAATCGACTTGCGGAACGGGTTACCTGAATGGGAATTTGGAACTAAATCATATTGGAACATGGTCCTATGAGAACCTTAACGTTTGCCTAATTGTTGAATTTGTCTTCAGCAGCCAATGCTTATTTTAAGAGGTGACAAATGGGGTCGGGTGGTCAGGCTCGCTGACTTGGTTGATGCATGTCATCGTATCAGAATTGGGTAGATCAATACTCATGATGTCAATCACTGGATTGTCGGACTCGATTATTTACAGATAGCCGTCATATACCTGGATTTTTGCTGAGTGTGGTGTTAAACAACAAACAAACAAACAATGTGGAAAGGTAAACAGGTAAG